GCAAAAATCTCTCATCATCCAGTCCTGACCCACCTTCTTCTAATGTCCCGCGGAAATCTACAGATACTCGTCCAACTTCACAAAATACGACAAAGAAGACCCCTCCATCACCATGCTGGCATTGTGGCGCGTGGCACTTTGTAAAGTCTTGTCCGTACAAAAATCATCGTTGCAGCAAGTGCAACATCGTCGGTCATAAAAATGGTTTTTGTCAGCCACGCAAACCCAGATGTCAAAATCCAGCAAAAGCTCAACAAAATGTTGGTCCTAAATCCCCCAAAAAGTCATTGAGTCTACGCGCAACCCGTCAAGTCACAACGCCAGGTATGCGGAAATATCTTGATCTTCAAATGAATGGTCATGATGCACGTCTGCAGCTAGATACCGCCTCTGATATTACTGTTATATCAGAGAAACTTTGGAAATATGTTGGCAGACCACCTATCACCAATACTTCCCAGTCTCTTGTCAGCGCCTGTGGTGGGCAGCTCAAACTTATTGGTGAACTCAAATGTTCTGTTTCCTTCCGCAATACCAAATTCACAGGAATTTGTTACGTCACGAAGAATGATTTAAATGTTTTGGGACTTGATTGGTTCGATCGTTTGCATCTGGCTGATGTCCCACTAAATTCTCTACGCAATACAGTGAAGAAGCATAAAATGCTAGACAATTCCGGACGGAGCCGAAGCCGCAAACCCAACAATCAGACGAAACGACAGGCGTCAACAACAAGCCCAAAGGTCCCAGATAAACCCCCAGGTAAACATCCTACTAATCATTCATCTTCTCAAAAGGGGAGGTGATATGTATCCACATATATATATTTATGTGTGTGTGTGCATGTTGGTCTCTCTTTCTGTTTGCTCGGTTAGTCTGTGACCACTTCACTTGTATGGACTTGTCTCCTTTAATAATGTGTATTCTCCTTATATTATATTATATATAATATGAGTGTTTGTTGACAGTCCGTTGCTTGGTGACATATATCCATATATGTTTGTTGGCATGTCTGCTATATTCGCTATGTATAATTGGATCGACACTCCATTATAATTAGCCATTCATGTTAAGACTGTCTAATGATTTTTCCCACGCTTGTCTGAATTATTTATATATATTCGCATTCACAATTTGTGTGAACTACTTTACTTTACAACTACTTGACTTGCTTACCACTTTGGTGTGAGACCATTTATTTTCGTCTCCTTGTGTTTGGACAATAGAAGTATCATCGCAAACCTAGTGGTCTTCTGATTTCCGCCTTCTCGCGTCAGGACTATTAATTTCTCGACCAGTCCATAACAATAATTTAGCGACGAGTACATAACAATTTGGCGACGGGGAAAACTAGTACATAACACAATCAGTTCGGATGAGGCGGTAGAGATCCAATGGATCTTACTAGCTTTTGGTTTTAGCTTATTCACAGCTTTTACAGCTGTATCTATGGCTGCCTGAATATTCTTTCAAGCTTCTGCAGAGTGAGCACGGCTGTCGAACTCAGATATGCGTTTAGCTAGTTCTTCCTCAAATAGGGGTTTAGTTTCCTGATCGAGCTGGGGGGCGTAATGGCTTTGATGCCAGCTGTTTCCTACGCCCGTTCAGTCGTAAGCACCAAACGTGCGCGGACCAGTGCGTGATCAGTATCTACACACATGTTCCAGAAGGAGCGACAATCTCCTACCGACCCACGCCAACGATAGCTTGTTGCTATGTGGTCTATTTGTGTCCAGCGTTGGTTTGATGAAGGGGGTCGCCAGGTCACATAGTGTCTCTCCTTGTGTTTAAAGTCAGCGCTTACAAGAAACAAATGATTATCTGAGCAGAAGTGTAGGAGACGGTCACCGTTGTCGGTTCGCTGGCACGGGACTCCATAGGTGCCACCGACATCCTTCTCAGATTGATGCAGTTTCCCTACTTGAGCATTAAAGTCACCAGCTAGAACGACTATATATGAGCGTCTAGCCTTTCGCACCAAACTAGACAGCTTTTTCTAGAACTCATCCTTCGTTTCATCCGAACTGCAGTCAGTGGGGGGGGGGTAGGCGGAGATTACGAAAAGGCATCGGCGAGTAGTGCAGTCCTTTCTCCTTTTTACTGATCCGTTCAGACGGACAGCACACATTTGGCCGTCTACCGGGATCGAGTCAAGTAATGTCTTTTCTGCCCTAGTAATCAAAGCTAATCCTCGTTAACTAGCTGTGGCATCTCCTGACACCCTCAAGGTGAATTTTGCAGATTCATCCTGTTGGCCAGGTGGGGTTAGGTGAATAACCACACTTGGGTCCTGTGTGCGTGTTTCTGAAACACAACATACATCAATGGCTCGGGATGCGAGAGTCTTAGATAGTGATGCTTGTTGTCCTATTTGGCAGTGTCCTAACATTAAATGCTCCTATATGAAATTGGCGGCGTGGCTTTAGGACAAGAAACTGTGGGAACAAATCAACGAAGAGTCGATCGCTCAAGAAATATGTAGGAGAAAATGGAGATGGATCGAGAACACGTTGAGGAGTCTGTGGAATGACATCGAACGCCAGGTGTTCAGTTGCAATCCAAATGGGAAACGAAGAGTGGGTCGTCCTACGGTGACAAGGAGGAGATTGTGTGAGGAGATGAGAGATTATGGGTGATCATGGTTCCAGCTGAAGGGGACAGCAGCAAACAGAACAAAGTAGAGATGTGTATGTATCACTCGGAACCCAAGGGAAGAACTATATAATAATAATAATTATAGTAATGCGTGATTATCCTCAAACATTAATGTATGTGTGAAACTTGGGCACTGTGGTAGTAAGTGATTTCATATTAGTGTGTTTATTAGATGTATCACACAGTGAAACAGTATTATTTACTGGATGACATTTCGTACAAAATTTATTGTTCATAATCATATCAATTGTAATCACACGACTTTGAAACTTGAGTTTTATAGTTTTCTTTGTCTTCGCCTATATGTCGTATGGGTAGTAGAATTTTCCAGATATCTGGGACAGGTGTTGAATCATTCCTATTACATGTATTTGCAGGTGATTCGATAAACAAAGCTTCTGTTATCAATCTCTCCGTATACCCTGTGACATTAGATTTTAAAACTGTCATCCTATCCCATCCTACTGTATGGTTGTGTGTGATTGCATGTAATGCTATGGCTGAACTATTCTCTAGATTGAAACGTTCACCCCCAACCCCAAAAGTATGGTTGAGGTATGTAGATGACAAATTCACTGTACTTAGAACACAAGATATTGATAGATTTTTCGAACACATCAACTCGAAGGTAGAGGCAATTCAATTCACTTATGAATTGGAAGGTCAGGGAAAGGGAACTTCCAATGTTAGATTACAGCATAAAACGAAAGAAGATGGGAAGTTAAACATTAGTGTTTACAGGAAAACCACACATTCAAACAGATATTTGGACTTCAGATGATCCCATCCTATGTCAGCAAAAATAGGATTGGTGAAATGTTTAAATGACAGAGCACAAAAACTAAGTAGTACCAAGGAAAATCTAAGACAGGAAGTGATACACATAAAAAATGCCTTGAAACTTAATAATTACCCGGATAAATTAGTCAGGAAATATGTAAGGAAATGTAAAATAAAATAAATAATGATAGTAGCGATAGTGATAATAATAATAATAGTGATAATAATAATAATATTAATGACGATATCAATAATAAGGAATCTAAATCATCAGTAGTAATTCCATACAAGGAATGAACCTCGGAAACCTTACGCGGAATTCTTAACAAGGCAGGAATAAAAGTGACTGGCATTCAAACCCACAAACTCAATTAGAAACAAGCTTTGTCGGTTTAAGGATCCTGTGGAGCCTTTAAAACAAAACAATTCAGTTTATCTAATACCCTGCAATGATTGTCAGACCAAATACATAGGTCAAACTAGTAGAACAGGGGGAGTCAGACTAGCCGAACAAAAACCCTAAAGAAATTTAGATTGGTTGACCCAAATAAGATAAGAAATCTAGAGATCACACACAACCATACAGTAGGATGGGATAGGATGATATTTGGTATCAAATATTAATTGAGATATCTAGTTAGTTTTGATTGAATCATTTGTAGCCCAAGCGTATATTTCGCTATCCATGAAGAAGGTGTTTACTCTGAAGCAGTGTGTTGCGTCCTACTCTACGACTGAGGCATGACCGTTGAAAGTGGAATACCTAAAGAGGCTAACCGTCTTCAACTATAGGTGTCTGCGTTCTGTCACTCTTTTAAGGCGTTAAAATGCATTCTGTAATGATGAGGTTAGGCGTAGCGTTAGGTAAGTAGGGAAAGTCAATCTATGAGATTATGGAGTTGCATCGATTAAGATGACTTGGGCAGGCACCATGTGTGTCGAACCACCGCTTTCCTTGACGAGCTGTATACAGTAGGACTCCATGATTGAGATCTCAGAGATTCTAAGAATCAATGCTGTTGACTTTATTTATCTATTTTTATTTTTGATTACAGCTTGATTCCACACTGTATTTTTGGTACAAGAGTGAAATTTTCAGCATGGATATCGGTAGCCCAAATTTTGCAGGCCGACCATAGATATCAGGTGTGCGTCGACAGGGGATCGAACCTCGGACCACGTGCATGGTCGGCGAGAGTCCTAACTACTGTGTCACCGACGTACGGTTAGTGATACGGCTGGAAACGGTTATCACTGGAACAAATGTACTGTTCACCCTTTGTTATCTTCGAGATTGGGAAAATCTTCACTAATTTCACCTAATTGCTCTATCAGTCACACATTTTTCTGTTTAGGTTTTGTTACATTTCCTTCCTTTACTTTTAGGTGTACTTTTATGAAGTGTCACAATTTGAACTGCTTCACTTTTTTTGCAAATTTCCACACTTAAAAATTCATTAAACTTCAGTTTATAAGCTGTTTTAGAATTAATGCACCACTGAATATAATGGATTTATCATTTCGACTAGATAATTTTGTTTTTTGTTGTTTTTTTTTTACTGTAGAAATTTGCTGGAATTGAGAATGAATGGCCAATGTTTTTTGCTTATATGATTATTGAATGTGAGTTGGAAAGTTGATCACATTCTCCCCATGAATTCTTTATTATGATTTGAACCAGCTTTCAACATCCTTGAAATTTGCTTCCTATTAATTAATAAGGTATTTCGTCGCCGTGCATCTGAGGTGTGTTGGTATTTGTGATTACCTTACACACATTTGCGGTTAAATGTGTAAATATTTTGCTGTTATATTATCGCTATATGGCTTATTGACTTAAGTACTCAGCTTTCAGTTATTATATTCCGGCTTCGGATGTTACTACACCTAATCCTGCCTACGATACTGGGTAGCGTTTCCAGTCATCACACATGCGCGACTCATAGCCTGGTGCTTTTATTTGTAGAACTTTACCAAATATCTTTTCGTGATCTATTCGCAAGTGTCTTAGATTTTCCCGCTAATGCTGTTTTAGGAATTTTACTGGAACCAAGTATTTTTAATTTAGAATTGTTTGAAGAACTGGATTCAGTAAAGGAGTCTTTAAAAATATTACAGCATTAGAACTTGATTAATGTTTACCTAATCCATATATTTATTGTACCGAACAGAGTGGTCTCTTTTTCCAGCATACTGCTCGTTTGACTTTCAGTTTTTTGAAGTATAATTATTAGTGATCAATTTCTAGATACTGTGTGGCGTAAATCTGAGGAAATCACTGTGATAGATATATAAGTAGAGTGTAAAGTAAATGCTCATCACCAGTGCACATTATTATCTTCTTACTTACTTTAGTGATCGGTATCGCACAGTATTTGGTATCTAATTCACTTTCATATGCGTTTTCTCTTAAAATTGAATCATTTTTAGCCTGAAAATTTGATAGAGGTGTTTAATCCGTTATATCTCTAATTTTGATGTTGTATAAAGATCTGTTGTTATTATATTTTTCTCGATAATTCCCTTTCTCCGTTGCCTGGATATTTTTAACAATGAAATTTATTCAAGGCTAGGTGTTTTGAAGCTTCAATTCTACGTTAAGTAACTAATGTCTATATAAGTAGAGTTTAAAACAGAAAATGTTTGATTCCACGTTGTTTTTCGTATCAGTTGGTATGATATGGTCAGTAACAATCAGATTGAGCTCAGGGTGTTGAATAGGTAGCAAGCATCAACCAATGAGCTTGTGAAACTGCACCGAAGGTTGAGATGGTTTGCATATCACTCCATCGCCTCTCTTTATAAGCAGTATGAAATGGTGCAAGGTTGGGTGAGAAAAAAGTTACGGGTGGTCCGACAGAAATGTGGTACTGTTCTATGATGTTCGGCAACTATTAGTGGAATTGTAGCGTATACTGATAAGATTTATTTGTAATATGTATATACATATATATATATATATTCATCGACATAAAACATCAAATATCAGTAAGATAGTTTTGATGTCAGAGAGAACAAACGATACAATGTTGGGGGGGGGGAATGGGAGACGTGAATGGAACACAAACACGATATTAAGTCCAGAAGCAGCACAACTCGGAAGATCTGTGCACATGGTGCTTTGAAGATAAGGTGTGCATAGTTTGGCTATATAGAGATACCAGATTGCTAACAAACATTCCTTTACCAAGTCTCTCGTCTTCTACCGTTACAATGTGGTCTGTTGTGGCGTAAGCAGAAACTGCGAAAAGACAGCAACGGGTAACGCCGTTTTTCCTTCTAACACCCATTCAGACAGACTGCACACATACGACTATCTACTGGGATCCAGTCAAGAAGTGATTTTTCTGCCCTAACACTCAAAGCTATCCCTACACCTGCGAGTCCTCGCGAACTAGCTGAGGGATCTTCTGATACCCTCAAAGTGAATTTTGCAGATTCACCTTGTTGACTGGGTGAGGTTAAATGAATGACCACACTCGGGTCTTGTGTGCGTGTCTCCGAACCACAACATACATCCATGGCTCGAGATGCCAGAGTTCTTGCTAGTGATGCTTGTTGTCCGATTTGGCAGAGGGTCGTGACGTTGAGTCCTCCAATATGAAGTTGGTGATGTGGCTTTAAAAAGCTGTCTGGAGTGTTTCTATGGCTCTCACCGTTGTTCGTGGTCACAGAGTGAAGTGAAGATGACTCATTGGCCTGCAGAATAGTACTAACTGTAGTAGAGAAGCAAGATACGAAAGGTGATGTGAGTGAAGGGAAATGATGCTCAGGAAGGCTTCGTGTGCTTTTAGAAGTGTGTAGGCGGTTGTTACTTCCTGGCTGCCCACACCGTGGAAGTTGGCTGGTTCTCCGGCCACCTGAAACAGAAAGTGGGTTATTGTTGCGTGACCGCAGAGCCCGTGGGAAAACTGATTGAGGCTGGTCACACACGGCGTGTATGAACTGGTTTCTTGGTTTGGTTCCTTATTAGTTAACTTACCCTCGGTTTCGGACCACGTAGGGTAATTTGGGATGTACAGTTGTTGTGGTTGACCTTTTCTAAACCCCTCCATCCAGAGTGGAGAGACAACATAACTGGCTGACATGCGGGTCATCGGAGGGAAGCAACTTACTGCTGTTACATCCCTGTTCCTCAGCAGTACGACTTTGTCCACAAACCCCCAGCATAGTGTAAAAATATTCTTACACTAAGCTGGTAACTGCTTTTAGTCTAATCGTTATCCTAACAACTTTCTTGGTATGTTAGGACCTGCAGGAACAATAGTTCCAGCCAGTGTAGCTTGTTGGGTCATTGTAATGTGCAAGCACGACCACCACGACATGGTAGCAGCTATCGGTCGGGGTTACAATATGGTTCTAAAATAGTTGTCGATAGCTCAGATTTTCTCACTCCGGGGTTTCCTAGATAAAATACATTGTCACTATACATTGTGTTATTCTCTCTTCTGTACATTTACGTTTTTCGCAGTTTTATTGTATTTTTTCTCTATCTCTGTGCTTGCGATTTGAACTGCTACGCTCTTGTGGAAAGTCCTACGTAAAAACGTTGTAAGTGAATACGTACGTGTATAATCTATGGCTAGCCAATTTATACGAATTAGATCATTGTAAAGTCGTAGTAACCTGATGGCCGTTCATGCATATCCTCAACAAGTCCCAAACTAGAACTAAATAAATATTCAGTGCTCCTACCTCTTCAATGATTCGTTGCGTGTTGTTGTTAGAACTTATTTTACTAGGATGGATTACTCACACACCAAGTTATAAGCCACATTTATTTTGTGGGGGCATAAGATTATACCCAGTTAGTCAGGCTGATGTAGGTGGAGGGAGATTCAAACCCTAGGAACTATTGTTTGAAAGTTGAATGGTTAAATCAGTTAGTCATAATTCCACTATTGGTTCGTGACAAAATCTACAATGAGATCGTGTTGTATGTTGCGAATTTCTTCTCAGTCTTCATAAATTTACTTCATTTTCACACATATTTTGTTCAATTATATATTCTTCAACGTTTGTGGGTACTTAGTAATCATAGTTATCAGTCATAAGTTTGTATTTTTTATTCACTTTAAGAAACCTTGACAACAGTATGGTATTGTTAACTGTCAAAAAGATTGATTACGTTTAACGCTTAAATAATCACCTACAAGGAAATACTATGTAATTTGTCCATTCTTGTCTTCAGTTTCCTTTCTAACCACAATTAGATATATGAATTATGGAGTATTCGTTTCAATAACCACAATTTATGACTAAAAATTCTCTTAATTTTCGTATTGTTTATTCGCTTATCGCAAAACTTTATTTTGAATAGGAATAAGAAATACCTATTACTAATGTAGGTATAAATTCCGAATCCTTTAGTGTATGGTCATATACTATGATTATTCATATATAATATCTCTGGATGGTTTACTCCCTTTTTAGAAGTGATTTTACACAAAAAAGACGGTGATATATCTGAAGAAGAACATTTGACAGCCAATAAAACAATTTCGCTGGCTCTATTTAGGTTAGCACTAAATAATAGAGTAAATTCATTTAAGTGCATATTTTTAGTCACATTTCTGTTAATTTAGATACCTTTTCTTAGCGGAATTACTAAGCTTTCATTATCTTTCTAGACAACTTATTCATGGCTAAGTGGTCGAAGTGAAATATTATGAACAAGGTAGCTGATGTCTACTATTTGTCAAGCAGTTTTTAAAATATTATTTTTTGTTGCAAAAATCATCAATAGCTACTCATCTGTCATGTAGATTTATTAAAGCAGCTTCAGTATTTAAAACATACTATTTCGATAGAGAAAGAAGGACCAGATTTGCACTGTAAAATGATTTTGTTCTATTTCACAGGTTCTCATCGGCTGCAAACTGCCTGAAATTACAATGGATATAAATAATGACAATAACATACTTCGATGTTTGAATAGTATTAAAGAAAGGATTATAAAATCAACACGTCCGGAATATAAGCATCACGATTTTTAGTTTAAGTCACTATCAATTTTGTATGCCATCAAACTATTCAAAAAAGTAAGGACATTGTACGACGAAGCCAGGAAGTGATGTTCGCCTAACAAGGTAGAAGAAGAATTGAGCTTTGTTGAAAAATGCCTTATTAAAAACGGGTATCCAAAAAGACTTATCCTAAAGTACACCAAAGAAAAAGACGAGAAAGCGAAGTATCCAACAGCTGAGTAGAAGAAAGTGTTGATTTTCCTCCCATTCAAAAGAGAAGCACTAATACAAAAGATTGGCAAAAGGATGAAAGGAGCAATAAAAGATGTTTCCCTGCAGCTAAGTTGGTGATACTATACAGTACTACATGCTCTATAAAGCCATTCGAAATTGGATAAGTACCCTGCTGGTGTTACTTCCAACTGCATTTATAAATTTACGTGCACCTGCGACAGCAAGTACATTGGAAGCACTGAAAAAAGGGATTCTATCCGGTTTTCACAGCATATTCCAAGAAACTTATGCTTAAAAAGAAACAGATATTTACAAAGTGCAATTACCAGACACCTTGTGGATACGTGTCATTTTTTTGAGATTTCCGAACCCTCCAAAATATTAAACATACAAAGGACAGCGAATTCACTACGATTTACTGAAGCAATTGCAATCAAACGTTTTAGACCAAACTTTTGCGCTCAGATACAGTGTAATCGTATTACTTTCATTACACTTATTAGTTATACACACTAGTGAGCTCAACTCACCAAACAAGTTTTCAATTTGTCGAACTTTAACCTTCTTGAGTTGCTATGTTGACGTACAGGCTAACCCTATTTATTAGATTTTTTGTCTTCTCTCACCCCCGTTTTTTAAAAAATTGTTTTATAGCACAGAAAGTAATGGTGACTTAAACTAAAAGTTTTGATTCTTATATTCCGGATGCGTTCATCTTATAATGTTGATTTCCTTTCAAACAATGAAGTATGAAATGTCATTATTTATAACAATCGCAATTGCAGGTAGTTTGCAGCTGATGAGAATCTGTGAAATAGAATGATATCATTTTATACTGCAAATCTGGTCTTTCTTTCTTTCTCTATAGAAATTTATCAAGGGAACCAAATGTATGAAAAATACTATTGGTAGCTCCTGCATTTGTTTTTAGTGCTTTCATTATTGTCATGGTTATTTTAATCATTCTCCTCAACACTACTTTGACCTTTCACTTTATTTCTCGTTGGTTAGACTGCTTGAGTGGTGAATTGGAAAAGGCCCTGGAGTACGATCGGTTAATGCAACCGCTTCTTGTTCATCCTGTATCTGAATTTCGTAAGTTTATCAATTTATTATTATTATAATTATATTATTATTACTATTATATCCTTTAATTCCTAGAGGAATATAGGGCTTCAGCCGCGCGTCTCCATTGCGTTCGGTTTATCAATAATTGACTTCAACTATTGTAAACACATATCCTCCATAAGAGGATAGTTTTATTATTATTACTATTCTACTCTGTTCATCACATTGACTAATTTTGATTCTATGGATAGTAATCGTGAATATGAAGTGAACATGTAAGTCTTGGAAAGACCCCGCCACAACCACCCATATTTTTATTTCACCTTCAATTTATCATTCATTACATTATTTGTTGTCTGTCAATCTGATGGCGTTTCAATATCAAATTATTTATTGTTTTTGTTTCTTTGTTTTTCTCTACACTCCTAAGTTTTTTGTTATGGTTCATTTGTTTTAATCAACCCTTCTATTTTTTATTTTCTCTTTTGACTAGTTTAAAAGCATGTGTATTTTAAGTGTTCAAAATGTACGGTACAAATACATGGGTTGTTTCAGCATTAGTTAGTGATATTTTAAGATTATTGGAAAGAGAGAGACCAAGGGTAATCTATTATGAAATGCCGTAAAAAGTGCAGATTTAAAGCTGTATTAAAAGGAGATGAAATTTTAATGTATTCTTCCTATCATATTGCAATACAGCTAAAATTAAAAGATTGTTGTCAAAAACACAAAAGCCAAATTTCTTTCACTGCTTCACTTACAAAAGTGAACATAAACTAAAAAAAACTTTTTGATTGCAAATATAGCAAATTGTTAATTCAGTTTTAGATTTTCCCGTCCATTGATTGGATCGAAGTGCATTGTCTCAGATTGACATGTCGGTTTCGTGTGAAAATGCTTCGACGATGTCTGTGCATGTAATTAGAAGTTAATTAGTGGATGGTGGCTAGCATCCTGGATTCCTCAGCTAGTCACCATCCACCAATTGACTTCTAGAAAATTTTTGATCTCATTATTCTTTTTGAAATTAAATTAAGATGTTGCTGCTGTGCGTCGGTGGCACAGTGGTTAGGACTCTCGCCGACCATGCAAATGGTCCGGGGTTCGAGCCCACGCCGACGCACACCTGATATCAATGGTCGGCCTGCGAAATTTGGGCTACCGATATCCATGCTGAAAATTCCACACTTGTACCAAAAATACGGTGTGGAGTCAAGCTGTAATAAAAAAAAAATACTTATGGTCAGTGTTTTCGCTGTTATTCTTAATAGTCATGGATTCTGTTCTTCAAGGAATCATAAACTGTTATTACTGAAGAGTCTCAAGCTGGAATAATACAAAAGAAACCAATTTAGTGTACTTTAAATTCGATGAAAGGTTAGCAGAGATAGCCACAGAAAGTTATCTGTCTAACACAATTATTGGCATACATTTTATACGCTAAATACATCTTACAAATATTATCGACTTGATAATTCTTAAATTATTATTATCATTCTTAACAAACAGATCCGTGGCTTCCTAAATTCTTTTATGTTCCCATTGAAGAATTGGAAAAAGAACGTCAATGTCGTGATTCAGTAGCTCGTAAAAGCAGTTTTCGTTTAGCTGGTGAATCTCGATTTTTGTGGGGACAATCAGTTTATATTCTGTCTCAATTACTTTGTAAGTTTTGTTATGCTTTTTGTATGTTACGGAGAAGACATATAATATTTTCTGTTCAGTAATTTGTAATTTGAAATATTTGACTGGCATTATTATTTTGCGTCTAACCTCGCCAGATTACTAGCTTGCTAGGCTACTAGCTTTCTAGTTTTCTAGTCGGTCCCAAGCCCGGGTAAACAGGGAGAGTTGGGGCTTGGTGCTAGCAACTCCACTCCCAAAACTCAACCAAACCGCTACAGAAACTTCAATGCACCAATATATTAAAAATTCTAAAAATATAAACAGTAACCTTATTTTTCGTTGGAATCGGGGAAGTGAAATGACACAGGCTGGTGAAAGCCTTCGGGAAGCTAGTCAGCCGACCTGACTTCTTTCGATGATAGCAAAAATAAGGATGGGGACGTGGAATGTTCGTACAATGTACGAACTGGAAAGGCTACCCAGGTAGCAGTAGAAATGAGGAGATGTAGAATAGAAGTGCTGCGAATCTGCGAGAGCAGATGGAACGAATGTGGTAGGTGCCAACTATCAACTGAGGAGATAATAATCTATTCCGGTCACCTAGAGGACAACCACGAGCACACCGAGGGAGTGGCCATCATGATGTCACCAACAGCAGCCAAAACTCTCATGCAGTGGGAAGCAATCTCCTCCAGGATAATGACAGCCAGGTTCAACTCAAAAGGAAGGTTACAATCATCCAATGCTATGCGACTACAAACGTCTCAGAACGAGATAAGAAGGAGGCTTTCTATAGACAACTACAAACAGTAATGGATAACGTCCCAAATGGCGATATCAAAATCCTGATGGGTGATATGAATGCGAAGCTGGGAGGAGACAATACAGGAAGAGAGCTCACCATGGGTCATGAGGCCCTCGGTGAAATGAACGACAATGGTGAACTCTTCTCAGACTTCTGCGCCTTCAATGATTTGGTGATTGGTGGCAGTGTGTTCAAACACAAGGATATACACAAGACGACATGGATTTCACCAGATGGACACACCAAAAACCAGATAGACTTCATTTCAATCTCAAGAAAGTGGAGACGGAGCCTACTGGACACAAGGTCGAGGAGAGGAGCAGATGTGGGTTCAGACCACTATCTAGTAAAGGGAACTTTCAAGGTGAAGCTAAAAGCCTCGAGGATAGCTAGGGATAGGCCACAATGCAGCTTCAACACTCAATTGCTGAAGGACACAACCACAAAGGACACTTTCACTGCAACTGTCAGAGCAAAGCAGGAAACACTACGAGACATCACTGAAGAATCATGCGTGGAAGACCACTGGAACTCTCTGAAGGTGATTTTCAACGAAACGTGTTCAACGGTTTTAGGAAGAAAGAAGAGACAAGACAAGAATGGCTCTCAATGGACACTTGGAAAGTAATAGAGGAGAGGAGAATGGTGAAAGGGAAAATGATTCAATGCAAGGACGGACAGGAAAAGGAGACGCTGAGCTCAACTTACACAGCACTGGACAAAGAAGTGAAGAAGAGTGCTAGGAAGGACAAAAGACGATTCTACGACAACCTGGCCACTGAAGCTGAGAGGGCAGCAGGCAAAAGAGACCTGAGGACATTATATCAGATAACCAAATCTCTATCCGAGAAGAGATAAACACAAGCGAAACCTATAAAAGACAGCCAAGGGAACCCAATTACCAAGGAAGAAAGACAGATTAAACAATGGGCGGATCACTTCAAAGGACTCTTGAACCGACCATCACCTGCAACCCGTCCAGAAATACCAACAACAGCGCGCACACAACTGCAAGTTGACACCAATCCTCCAACGAAAGCTGAAGTCTTGAATGCAATCAAGCTTCTGAAAGCTGGAAAAGCAGCCGGACCAGATGGAATACCCCCTGAAGCACTGAAAGTGGACCCAGAGACTACAGCAAATATGCTGACTCCATTATTGCAAAAGGTCTGGAAGGAGGGAAAGGTGCCTACTGACTGGAAAAAAGTTACCTCGTGAAACTACCAAAGAAGGGCGACTTAGGTTTTACTCTGCAAGAACTGGCGAGGAATCATGCTCCTGTCGACGCCAAGTAAAATCCTGAGTCGCATCATCCTGGAGAGATTAAAGGACGCACTGGAGACAGAACTCCGACCAGAACAAGCTGGATTCAGGAAAGGCAAATCATGTTCTGACCAAATTTTTGCAACTCTACGCATCATCATCTTTGAACAAAGCATGGAATGGCAATCAAACCTCTACCTCAACTTTATAGACTTTGAAAAGGCCTTCGACAGCGTTGATCGTGAAGTAATTTGGAAATTACTCGAGTACTACGGCGTACCCGAAATATTCATCAACCTTATTCAACAGCTGTACGACAACGGCACATCTCAAGTCATCCACAACGGAAAACTCAGCGAGGCGTTTGGAGTAAACCCAGGAGTCAGACAAGGGTGCTTATTTATTATCACCAATGATATTCCTAATTGTGGTGGACTGGATTATGCGTCAAACAGTGGGAAACGAGAAGACAGGGATATCCTGGACCGACGTGAAGAACCTAGAAGACCTGGATTTCGCGGATGATTTATGCTTGATGTCACACAAAATCGAAGACTTACAAGCGAAAACCGACAAACTGGTCGAAGAAGTAGACAGTGAAGACAGGACTCCAGGTGAACATAGACAAGACGGAGGTTATGGAAATAACCCGCGTTTTTTTTTTTTGCAGCAACATGCAGCGTCAATCAGCATCAACGGGAGGGATTTGAAAGAGGTTACTTCATTCACTTATCTAGGGAGCATTGTCTCAACTACAGGCGGAACGGATGAGGATGTCAAATCGAGAATCAGGAAGGCGAGAAACACATTCATCAACCTGAAACAATCTGGAAATCTTTGTCACTCAGCATCAACAACAAAATTCGGTCGGATTTTCAACACAAACGTCAAGTCAGTCAGTTCTTGTATACGGATGAGAAACTTGGCGGGCGGGTCACAAAGAATATTTCCAACAGCCTGTTGCAGACCTTTATCAACAACTGTCTTCGCACTATACTGAAGATCAGATGGCCGGAGAGAATCACCAACAAAGAACTATGGGAACAAACAAAGCAAGAACAAATCGCCCAACGAATATGCAGGAGAAAGTGGAGATGGATCGGTCACTCGCTGAGGAGACCGCTGGGTGACGTCGCGCGTCAAGCCATTGCTCGAGTGGAACCAGGCCGAAAGGGAAGCGGTGAGTGGGACGTCAGTGCAAGGGTGACATGGAGGAGATCGTGTGAAGAGGAGTTGAAAGAGTATGGACTAACATGGATGCAGGTGAAAAGTACAGCAGAAGACGGAAGCAAGTGGAGACGTGCAGTTGAAGCCCTGTGTTCCACTAGGAACCCAAGGGAGCAATAATAATATAATAATTGTTTTGCGTCTGCTTAGTGTCATATTTTGTAACAAAATTTAATATAATACTTTTTTAGACAAAGCAATAAGGAGACGTAATTTGTCTGAATCGTGTAATGTATTTGTGCAACACATTTCGAACAGTCTGATCACACACGTACTTGTCATAGGAATATATATGAAACCAGAACCAGAAGTCGATATAGAAAACTATATGCTCACCCTAGCAAGTACAAAAACTCAACCATACCCTACTTAGCTCGTGTTCTGTGCGATAAAGAAAGCATTGGGCGTAATACCTATAACTCATTCAATAGTTAGTAGAACAACTGGATCTCGTCTTTCCAACTTATATCATTTATAGGTACAACGTTTTCTTTTTTTCTTTTGCCTTTCTCTTTTTTTTCTGTTATTTGCTGCTTTGTTTCTTTCTTCCTTACAAACTCTATCTAAAACATTCGTCTTCGTTCTCTCACACTCTGTAGATCTCGACTTTTTTGTTGCCGCTTTCGCCAGTAAATGTGCTAGCATCTACTTTTCTAACACCTTCAAACACTGTTCAATTTTGGCTTTGCTACCGACATGCCAATATGTTGTTGTCAAAACTAATTGAGATTACCCTTGATCTATGTGGAATTTTATTTATTGTTAATGTACCAACTGGATGCAATACGGAAGTAAAATGTTGAAAATTCGATTCTATATCACAAGCACTAATTTGGAATAAAGCAAATTATTCAAGTGTTGGTTTGTAGGGATTTGAGTGGTTTCAGGATTTCATCATGAGCTGACATTAGTTAGAGAACCATTGGAAAGCCTGGGAGTACTGGACAGCTGTTTCGTCCTAGTTTGGGACTCTTCAGCAGTACGCACCCGCCGGGATTCGAACCCAGGACCTTCCGGTTACAAGGCGAGCTCGTATACCATTAAGCCACTGGGACCCGATCCAATGGTCCTTTAAGACATTGACTAGCGGTCGCGCTATGTCGTGAATTGGCAGAAGTTAGAATTCAAGGACCATTGGATCGGGTCCCAGTGACTTAATGGTATACGAGCTCGCCTTGTGACCGGAAGGTCCTGGGTTCGAACGGTGGCGGTGGGTGCGTACTGCTGAAGAGTCCCAAACTAGGATGAAACGGCTGTCCAGTACTCCCAGGTTTTCCAATGGTTCTCTAACTAATGTCAGCTCATGATGAAATCCTGAAAGCAAATTATTATCTTTATTATTATTTAATAAAGACTTAAGAGTTGAGAAAATAAATTTAGGTCAAGTTAAAAGGACATATTGAAGGTCAAAATAACATTGAAGATCACTAAACCAAAGAAGGGAGGTAAAAATAGTAGCAAGGAAGGTTTAGTTTGGTGATTAATTGTTTTAGAACGCAAAAAGGTGGTTTGAACTTTTCAATTGCTAGGGCTTCCACAAACTTCGGGATACGCTTCAAACACGTTTTATAGATAGGTTTTATAAGACGTGTAAAAATCAATTTTATGTCCTGTTTAGCAATAGAGGAGCTAGGTCTCCTGTTTTCACCATTAATTGGTTCTGCAGATTCTATTTGCTTCTGGAGCCACTTAGGAATATACTCTGGAGCCCTTACTTGTAGAGATCAATGAATCCTCCCTCCACACATACATTCAAATAGGTAAATACAGTGGGATGTGACACCATTTTAGGCATGTTTAAGGAGTTAGATAGATAAATTGGCTTTACATTCTCAATTGGTATGATATTAGCTGCATAAAAAGTCTTTTCAACCTCAGCGTTCAATCTTCGTCTAGTTGTCAAGCTACTATGATCCCCCATATAGGGTAGCCTAATGTAAACGTCTTTCGTAGCGGCGAGTTAGAGAATAGGTCTTGGTGTTCTGACTATTTTATATCTCCTGATGAACTTGTCTGGATAATTGTTATCAACCAGAGTTTGTGTCAACTTTCTTTCTTCTTAATCAAGTGTGCCTTCAGTGCATATTCGTTGGATTCTACTGAAGAGACACCTTACTAAGGTTCTTTTGTGCCGAACAGGGCAGAAACTGTCGTGTCCAGGTAGGTTTTCGATAGACAGATTGTTTTGTTGATCCATCAAGCCGTCGACTAAGCTTTTTATTTACTGGGCTATATGTCTGATTTTTAGTGGGACTGAAGTATTTACATGAAGTATCACTTATCTGAGTGTCGAATCGAAATCTGTCCTGCGGATTATCTAGTTTTCTCCAGCTCAGTGGTATTATGAAGTACTGCTGTTGTAACTGAAAATTTAGATTATATTTATCGAACATATATTTACCGATAAACTTTTTATTTTAAAGACATCATGTATCATCTACCTATTTTTATTATACTGATATATAAAATTGCTACAAATCAAAGACAGAAGAGCAAGACCTGTAGCATAAAATATGCACATTTCATCCCGAGACCGCTTTTTCGCTACAGACTGCCCAAAATATAAATACGATTGATGAAACAATAACTAAGCACGAGAGATATTAATCCCATGAATATGTCTGTCTGTCTGTCTGTTTTCGACATAGAACTTTGCACAAATGTGCGGAAGTTCAAGTCGCCACATTCCGTGTAGCACGCGAAGCAAGAGAAGAAAGTACAAGAAAAGCATAATAGAAACAGTGAGCAGAGGTGTGAGACAAAGGAGTAATAAAGAAATACAAAACAGTTTCATTGAAGGTCATAAGTCACAGGGAGGTTTTTTCAAAGTAGCATAAGATAAATGTTACAGCCGACACGATGAGAAACTAGATAATTCCATTGTAGATACAATTTCTTTTAATAAAGTCTCACAGTGTTTTACAGCGATGGGTTGGGTGTTCGAGGATGACGTCGAAAAAAGTTATGTGAAGAGGAGAAAATAAATCAGTAAATATTTATGTGAGACTTTGTCAAAATAAATTTTATCTACAATGGAATTATACTCCACTACGGTACAGAAGTTCTACTGTTATATTAAAGAAACTTGATACTCATAATAAGCTTGCAGGAAAATTTTAAGTTTCCTTGTTCGGGTACGAAATATGGTTATTATTCTGAATGGTGTATAACACAATGCATGCATGGTTATGAAATTTGTTTTAATAGTAGGTGTTAATGCAGTCAGTTATCCAGCAACATGCAGAAGGGAAATTACATGTTAGTATAAAAGAAACAATTTATAAGTGAGTTAGTCTCAAATAAGTTATTCGAGGTCTGTAGGCCAATGTAATAAAAGGTAACCATAAAGTGTCACACAATGGTGTAGTGAATTAATAGTCATAGTATCTTCGACTATTCACTTGTTGCATTATTGTATGCACCCTTTTTTGCATTTTCTCATTCCTTGGATTCTGACTGGAACATTGAAGCTTCAAGCTTTCGATTTTAGAGTTTCGGTGGCGGTGATGTTACTTTTACAGGATCGCGTAGCTGGTCTCACGCCTAACTTTCCCTCATTTTCCAGACTTACTACTGCCCAGCAAACTATGCAAGGTTTTGTAGTGCGTTGGCCAATAATCGAACCTGACGTCCTTCATGTTTGGTGAGCATTTTATGGCTGGGCCACTGGCGCAGTACGTATTTCTCATACCTATCTTTAAGTGACTGCTAGACGTTTTAAAGTACTTCGTTTGCTACCTTAGCATTATTTTCAAAAGAATGGATACTGAACAAAGAGTACTCTTTTCGATAAATTCATCATCAGGCTCTACATTTATACATACGTTATAGTGAATGGTAATTCTGTCAAAGTGAATCAATCTGATGTTATTGTAAAATCCATTCTGTTTCACTCTTATACTTGTCAAACGCTATTGATTCTCTTCACTCATCTTCTTGTCTACCTTTGTGTGCTATTTGGAACGTGGCAACTCGAACTGCTGCACTTCGGTGCCAAGTTCTATGTTCAATCCAGACAGACAAACAGATTGTAAAATCGATAAAAGTTGTCTTAAGTCTTCACAAATAAACTATCATTCTTTCATACTATTGTTTTTGTTTTATTTTCATTTATTTATTTATATATACTATATTAGATCATTGATTCTTTTCTTATAGTGTCTGGTTGTCTTCTTCCGCATGAGTTAGACCCTATTGGTCGAAGGCCAGCACAACGTTTTTCTGGTTTAATTTCACTTGGTAATGAAATCGTATGCCCTGTAAGATTATACATTCATTATTTTCAACCTTCTACTGAAATTATGAGGTTTGAAAATTAATCTATAGGATTTTTTATTTATATACCAGCAAAGTTAAACTATCATAGCCAAAACCACAGTAACCTTGAAAAAACAATCAGAATTCAAATGCAAAACAGTCACATAATCGTTGAAAAATGCACTAAAAATATTGCTTACATGATATTGCACTATATAGTTGTCTTCTATATGCCGTAAGAATGTCTACCAGTCACCGCTCAAATGATCTATACATAAGGCATACATTGCGTGAGATAATTTCATCCAGGTGACTGTAGGTCATGGTAATTCGAGATCCATTGATATTTCTGACAATGTTCTTTAACCTATTCCTCTTAACTCTAACCATAATCCTAATCCTAACCTTAACCGTAGACCCTGTACCTTCATCTTAAAAGCGATAACCCTACCTTACAGTATAGATTTACAGGAAAGTTAACGAGGGGATAAGGAGAGTACTATATCAAACCTCTCAAAGTCCAAAAGACAGGCATCTTTTGATTTGCAATGACCTTTCATAGCATTCCGTGTATCTGATTGACTCTTGAAGGTCAACTTTTGAAAGACCGTGACTTTGTCTATGAGACTTTAACTCTGTCCATTTGCTGTATAAAAAAGTTGTCTTCAACGATATATGTATTTCTTTTTTCCATTGTGCTTTGTCGAGCCTCCTGGTCAATGGAACAGACGGAAAGTTAATCGCAAAACGTATTAATTCAGTTAAGATAACTATCAAAAGGATTACTATCCATGGAACATGGAAATGATGACAATGGATACCATACTAAAATATATTATCTAATTGAGGAGCAGCTGGTACTAAAATAACTTGATTGGAGCGAACTAACTTTCTATAAAGGATATACTAAAATGAAAATAGCTACACAAATTTGAATAATTATGAGTCATATCTGATGCTATATGGAATGGATAAGTATCTACTCCATTATGGATAAGATTTTATTTTGATAAATCACACAGTGTTATACAGTAATATTAACTGATGACGTTTCGGCCAGAAACTATTGCTCATCATCATATCAAGCTACTCACACAACTTTTTTCCTTCATTTATACACATGTATGGAATCGATTAGATATTGGAATAAAAAAGCAATGTAGGATAATGTACATTCAGAAATAATAATAATAATATGAGTGTTATTGATCAATTACAATCAGATGGGAAATAAGACGGGTGTTTTATAGTCATAATAAGTTACTTGTTAGAATATTGTGATGTGCTTGAATTGAAATAGAATTTTAAGATTATTTATTATCCTCTTCTGATTTGACCGGCGGTAATAATACTTTCCACAACAATAAAAGTAATTGTGAAACTAGTAATGATAACATAAATAAGAGAGAATATAAGTCATCTACTGTTATACCACATAAGGAGGGGACATCTGAGACGAGCCCCTACGTAGGATTCTTAATAAAGCAGGAATTAGAGTGGCATTCAAATCTACAAACTCACTCACTGTCTGTCTGTCTGGATTGAACATAGAACTTGGCACCGAAGTGCAGCAGTTCGAGTTGCCACGTTCCAAATAGCACACAAAGATAGACAAGAAGATGAGTGGAGAGAATTAATAGAGTTTTACTCACGGACAAGCTCTGTAGGCTAAAGGACCCTGTTGAGACCCGTTTAGACAAAATAATATGATTTACAAAATATCACTTAACATGGAAGATAGAGCGCAAATAGCTATGGTCAAAGACAACTGGTTTTTTCATAACTTCGTTTTTCAACGACCACATCTCAGCATATACATGTGCTGACTAGAGTCTGGTCGGAGTGTAGGCAGATGTTTCAGAAGGAGCGGCAGTCTTTTTATCCTCTCCATCGATAGGTTATTGCTGCTGGATGAATTAAAATATCGGATCATAGAAATTTCGCTAGAGCTAGAATGATTGACCCTGCTAAGTTAAGTAATGTGGAAAAACTCAGCTGTTACAATACATTCACTTACATGCAATCACACAGTATAGCTGGATAGAATAAAAGTTTTATAAAATAATGTATTTAGGTTTAGAAAGATATTAATCTCCGTATCTTTATTTATCGAGGCGATGCTAACAAGCACAATCAATTTTACGCAACATCTACACTGGTCATACGGAAAATTGCATATATATATATATATATATATATATATATATATATATATATATATATATATATATATATATATATATATATATATATATATATATATATTCGTGAACGACAAATACACATGCAGAGTAGTTAAAAACCACTCATTTCAATCAAATAGTATGTAATATCACACAAAGTGCAAATAATTATTTATATTACACTGCAATATTCCTAAGGCACATTTTATGATTAGGATATCATGAAAGTATTGCTAATTTACTAAAAGACTAAAATAGCATCTATATTGTCAGTTTACAATGAACACAGTTGACTGCCTTGATTTGATTATCTTAAAGCTCTTTTATTATTCCTGTTAAAAAAATTATGTCATAAATTCTCTCGTTTAATTTTTTCCTTGATATCAGGGGAAATCAATGAATGTAACTATTCAAGTAGTGCTTATATCTGAATCTGTCCGCCTTCAACAAGTTTTAGCTACATATGGAATTATAACGCAAACACCTTTACAAGTTGAACCTATTCAGGTGAGGAGTTTCAGTGTACTTTGTGCAAAGAGTTTTACACTTTTCGTTGTGTTCACTTTTGAGGAATCGTAAGTATTTTTATCCAAGGAAAAAAAGTACATTGTACCTCACTGGTGGAATAGCGGGATGCACACCAAACATGAAGGATATCCGGGTTCTATTCCAAGCCGATTCACTCCCTAACCTCGCAGTTCGCTAGCCAGTAGTATGTGTGGAATATGTGGGAAGGTTGAGTTTGAGACTATTCCGCGTCAAATCATCATCACGACCACGGAAACTTCAAAATTGAAAGCTTGGAGCCGTACGTTTTACTCACAACCAAGAAATGAATAAAATGCTTTATAGAATTCTACAATTTTTTTAACTTTTACTTAAGAATGCAAAAATAATAATTCAGCTTTCTTCTTGATGAAAGATAATGCCATACATAGACTTCCTTTATAGATTCTGAAATATTTCAAACATTTTTCACCGTCGTTGCATAATCGTACTTAAGTCTTACTGTCTAATCTTGTTGACAAAAATTCCAAGTAATTGAAATCAGGTGTTTGCAGTCTATATTGTCGAAGAAGAGAACTGCATAATTAGGTGGAAATAATCCCCACCGTTTGAATTCCACTGTAGTTATCATGGAAAAGTAAAATATCCTAACCACATGATCCACTTAATAGAATAAGTTTCTACGAGTTTGACAATGTATTGATATCAGTTAGAGAAACATTTAAAACTTGAAAGTACTGGAAAAATGCTTCATCCTAGTTTGGGAATCATCAGCAGTACGCACCCACTGGGGTTCGAACCCCATTGTGGTCATTCCGTGGTCATACACGTAAAAACAAATTTGATCCTTACAAACAAACTCTTGAGAATAAGTTTCTTTGTATTCCACTAACTACTAGAAGCATCTATCAAGGTAGTCATTTATATGTATACCTTGAATGGACGCTAGATAGTAACTAGTGTGCAGTCGAAGTACCTTATACAGTCCTACAGGAGGTCAACCGCGACTCCGGATGACACTTTGATCGCAGCACTGGGTGACACGGGTTCGTATCTTAGAAGGGACATAAGTTCCTCCAGGGTTTGCACATAGACCTTGCTAAGTGCCTACAAACACGAAACGTAGGTTTAAGGCTTCCTACCAACCTCTGCTAACCATCTAATAGTTCTATGTATCCATTCAGTTTATACAACTAGGACCAGGCAATCTGAGTGGCATGAAATGCCATGGAGATGTAGGTTATCAGTTAAGTCGGTCGACTTTTAGATTTGAGCTAACTGATTAACATGAATAATGTACTCCATGTAACTATGTTCCAACACCATTACAGTACATCCTGTGTATTATCCAGGGCAGATTTACATTAGAAAGAAAATAACATACTGTCGTACGCTAGACACGTAATAAATAATCATTTTAAATGCTAGCTTGCAGCGATTTCGTTGACTTTTGAAGATTTAAAAAAGAACTAACTTCAGTTACAGAACCATTGGGGACCACAGAGTACTGGATAGTTCAAGGATTTGATTGATTTCAAAAGCTTGTAACCTGTAGGTCCTGGATTTGATCCCTGGTTGGATCATAGGTTCGTAGTGCTACAGGTTACCAAACAAGGATAACACAGTTATCCAGTACTCCCTGGGTTTCTAAATGAAATCAGTTCGTGATCAATCTTGAAATAAAATCACTATTCAGTTAAGGAAGTCATATGTATACCCATCGAAAGGGATTATGTACACCAGTCATTCTTTAATTCTTGACATATTAACCTATTTGTTTGTTCCTCAAACTCTTATATCCATTCACCACTGTCTAGTGCTTTCCTGCGTCTTTTTATTTTAATACATTGGATTTAATTCTAACCTATCTGTGTCTGTGGTGTACTATACTATACAAATACTTCATACTTTAAATTTTGTGTGATGAAAAATTAAAAGAAAAACTTGTGTTTTCCTAATTTACCTAACTTTTAAACGTTAGCATAAAACTGTTAAATGATTAAGAACCAAGACAAACAGACTCCCTTACCTTATAATTCCAACAACCCATCATCAGATAGGAAGCTTAATAGGTAAAACTTCGTAAATTTAGTCACAGACCAATACAAGTTGGAGAATCATTGGAAACCGTGTAGCACTACTGGACAGCTGCTTCTTCCTGGTTTAGCACTGTTTAGGAGTGAGCACCCATTCAAAATGTAGATTGACATAGTTTGATTATCTAGAGTCAATCAAACTTTAAACTTGATTTTGACTTCCAAACAACCTATTTTAAGTTGATCATACTATTATTTCATGGTATTATCTTCTAGATATGGTCTCCGGATCAACTAGTGCGAGTTGGAAAATTTTTGGGATGTAGCGAACGTTTAGGACTCTCCGGTCGTCCTCCTCGACCTTATGGACAGTTAGGAACTAGCAAATTTTACAGGTGAACTATATGATTTTTCGCTTCTGCTGATAATCTTGTTTTATTTCTCTGCTTCCAGGATCTTCATGTAAAATAGTAATACATAGTACTTCATGTGGCACGATACCATTCGATCTGTAGCATAAAGCAATCACTTATGATGTTTTCCATTCGTCTTGGAGAAATACACAGAAGTTACTTGTAAGCCCATCAAACATATTCGTTTGTACATTTTGCCACTCAAAGACATGGTTGACGGCTTAAAACATAAAGAAATAGGGACAGTTCAATACGTTATGTTCGATTGAAATTCAGTTAGCCTATTGATTCAAGTAGGTCTTCAGTTAGCAGCCAATTCTCTGAAACGGTACAAGGTACTTCTTGCTTCTTTCATGTTCTTCATTCTATATTTGCAAGCTTTGTTTAAGACAAGTGCCAGAGTAGAAAGGATATTTCTTGTGTGATTTTCAGTGTATATCTACTGGAAGGAGTCTGTCAGACTCTGGAAGATCAATGGTGCCTATAGTTTTCTCTATGATAGTCTACTTAAGGGTACTTTCTGTAGTCTGCGTACTGTAATGCGTACTGTTTACCAGAAAATATTCTTTCAAAATCTGTGAATACAGCTTTTCCTCTATTACAGTGTTGATTGTTCCCTATGTTATTTTCATTACATTCATTAGTTGTAGAAGCCTAGCCAGCAAGACATCTGACACTGTCTGTAGTCAGATCAGAGAATAAAATTGCGAAATCTAGAAACAATAAATTCCTCACTCGTAGCCTGGGGTCTGTGGTCAAATGAAGGTCACCTTTATACGTCTAATCCTCACGTTATTTCAAATGAATGCGTGTAAACTCCCCGATACATACTGTCGGACTAGCAACATTGTCAAATATTTACTTACTTTCTGTTCTCTTATTATTACTATATGCTTTTATAATTTATAATGAATGAGAATACGGCTACTAGATGAGAACTCAATAACAATAATCACAATAAAATTACGTAATCAGAAATACAATAAATTCCGTAATGAATTTAATGAGCAACAAGCGATTCAGTTGACAGGATAGTTTTCTGAACAAAATATCTCAGACAAGGACATTTTACTCAAACATTCGAGCAGCCAGTTTCCCTTTGTTTACTGATATCTCCCCCAATATGATATTTCATTGAGAAATGAAAAAAACAGTCAAGACGGACAACCCATCGTCGTTAGTAATGACATCACGATTGATGCATCCACTGCCATGATAACCTCACTGGACAGTTTTTGATTGGTTTACTTTTGACTTGAATTTCCGAGGATGTGCAATAGTATGCAACCAATCAGATCTGTTTATTGATGGACTGAATTTTAGGATTTTTTAAATTATGTATAACATGTATTTTGAATAATGAAGCGTTGTCGCTGTCACAGTTTAATCTGACCATTGGGTTTATTTAAGTGCAGTTTGACAACAACCCTCCGTTATAATAAAAACATTCAAAAATGTGTGTCATTCACAAAATTACATGATTAACACATGATTTCTGATTACACAAGGGAAACAACACCTGAAGTATAAGGTCATTTTTCAAAACAAAAACGGACATCAAACTATATTCTTCAATGGTAGAAAAAGCAACAACCAAAAATCATTGCATTTTCATTTCTTGACTTCATATTTACATGGTAAATACATGAAATGATGCTTCAGAGGTAAATAATTTACCTTAGCTACACGCACTAGGCGCCGGTTTAATTCCCGGTTGACTCATTCCTAAGCCCAGTCTATTTTACCAACCGATAGTAAGTCAGGAAATAAGAAAAGCTCCAGGTTAACAGCTCATTGTGTCAGAACAACACCGTTACTGACACTTCAGTATCCAAAGCTTGAAGCCTTATGTTCAACTCGTAACACAAGAAACCAGTATATATATATATATATATATATTATACATGACTTACTCCTCTGTCCATCATGTGAATGCTGCGAAAAATGTCTTCATCTGATATATGGAATTTTGATCGACCTAAAGATTTAGACGATATACCAACCGCTTTAGGTAGATTATCTAAACTTCTATATGAACGTCCAGCATCCAATTGATGTAATCTACGAAAATATTCACCTTTAGCGGTCCAATAAGGTAGAAAATCCAAGTGTTCCACGAATCCACTTGAAACAAATTTCTGAAAAAAGTGGTGTATACACACGTGTATATAATAAAAGAGAACAGTGGAACGTTCTAAAATGATTTTTCTTATAAGTAGGAGCTGACGGTATTAAGAGCCTATATTGACTAGCCATTTTAAGTAGAATGTGGATACATTAATTTTATTGTTTTTGCACAGCCTAACAATTTGCTTATTTTATATCACCATGCGAAGTAGTGCGTTGGTTGTCTAGGGACAGGATTGCCACCAACCAAGCGCGTGGTACAGGTTCAATATCCCGTCGACGTCCTACTACACTTCAAATAACTAGTAGTAGGCCTGCAAAAAGAGAGACGGTTGAGAATGAAACTAGCAATCCTACTCCGTAAAAATACACAAGGTCCACTGAAATGTTAACGATAAAAGCTTGAAGCACTCAGTTCTAACAGGAATGAAATGAAATGAAAAATCAGACAAAGCAAATATGCGACAGCCATATATATATAGGCCATCGTTTTACAAAGTTTACATTCATAAATTATTTGGATAAAATAAACTAAGAGTTGTTAAGTTGTAATACAATAAAAATCAGTAGAATTCCAATGAACGGCTAAGATTGGTTATCCTAGACAGTATGAATAAAAAGTAACTTGTGGAATTTATACAACGTTACATTAGAGAATTCATGTCAGTAACCTAACTAAGGTTAGCGTATTAAATACATATAATGTGTGCCTATGACACTGGCGGCCACATACGTAGTACAGCAGAAAGCTGTTTATAGCACGAGGGTTGAATGAAACAAAGTCGAAAGCAACGTTATTTAATGACAATGTATTATTATTATCACAAGATATGAATAATGTGTCAATGTCACATCTCAGTAAATATAATCAGTCCACGATGGAAATACACCCAACTGAAGAGAATTCAGTAACGCAAAAATTACGCGAAAATCGATTGATTGGTATTGGCAATATACATCTATTACATTTCATAATCACGACTTGGACATATCTTCGGTATTGTGCAGCTTTGTCTACCATGATGTTCTTCATCCTCTTCCTCTTATATTATCCACATTGTTTCACAAGCATAGTTCATAAAATCCATCTCTTCGCTACTCAGTATAATTCCAGCTTATACACATAAATCTACAAATCTTGTCAGTAGCACACGTCACGAAATCCCGATGCCAAATTCTGCATTTACAATCAAACTCCAATACTTCAGCTGGTTATGGGCGTTTCATTAAGCACAAAATTCTTTAACCATATTAGACACATTATGTCAAAGGATTTACCTGAAAACGCTTTTGGTTTATCGTAAGCAGTGACCATTTAAGAGGCCAATAATAGAGTCTTTATGGCTAATCAGTATTTTCATACTTGATCAATCAGATGATGTTTATATTCATTATTATTATTCCCTTGGATTCCAAGTGGCACATACGGCTTCAACAACACATTTCTACTTTGTTCTATTTGGTGCTGTCTTCTTCAGCTGGATCCACGATTACCTATGATCTCTCATCTCCTCCTCGCACGACACGGACAAAATGGTGATAATAAGAAAAAATTACGATAATACAATTCAGTAGACTGAAGCAGATTATAACGGTAACAGTGTCAGAATGGAAGATTCATATTCTTGAATATTTCCATAATAATCTATGATCAAAATGCAAAGCGATTACATCACATAGGCTTACTCACTAAGCAGGAAAACGGTTCGCGTTAGAGAAAGTAAAAATTGTCCTAGTACTATGCAGACACATATAAAAATCAATATCGTAGATACACGAAAGTAAAAGGAATGTTAAATGTTAGGAGACTAATACCTACCTGTGCACGTCCAAGAACGACATGAGCTTCCTGTACGGTACCATTCTTCATGCTCACCAGAAAGCGAAGCAATTTATCAAATCCTGGAACCCTGTTGTATTGAAACAGTGACAGTGGAAAAGAAAAGACTAGGTGAGAAAGAAAACAAACTCAGTAGATTTCGAATAACTGTCATTTTCTAGTTAACCAATGAGTAAAATATATGTACGAGATCACCCAAGTAAAAAAAACTGAAACAAATTTCTTATTAAATTTATCAGTTTCAGACATAAGTCTGTTAAAAATTTTGAATACACAAAAGTCGCAAGTACAAGGTAGATTGTGTAATAAACACAAATATGAAAAGTCTTTCCTCTAAAAATTTCATATATGATCGATTAATATGTCTACGGATCAACATTTGATGAAACTTTTTGTCATTCAGTGAAAGCATTTCCTGGGGAGTTATATTGTTACCTTAAAGAATTTGTTACTGCCTTACGTGCTCCTATGTAAATTTAGTGTGAAAATTAGCTATAAATTAAGGAATACAAATCATACAGCACATAGTAAAGAAATCATTCAAATGAACGGAAGAAACAACAGGTATATTGACGATAATGAGGAGGATTTAATGGACTTAAAAGACTGGCAATAGCATAGAGAAGAGAGATTGGCGACGAAGATGTCTACCCAAAAACAACAAGCACCAATCATCATCAACTGGAGAAGTGTGAAGGAAGTCACCTTCTTTCACTTACCTGGTTGTGCAGCATCGTTTCAACTACATTTGACTGGATGAGTATGTGTTATTATGTCACCACTTTTATATTTTGCAATACATTTAGTTGGATAGAGACGTCGAGCTAGACATAGACACAGTGATCACGAATACCGTTTGACTACTCCAACATCACTATACAACAGCTAGCTACCTGTACCCCAGCCCGTTCTACTTAAGCGAGAACACACAACGATGTCAGCCGAAAAGAATATCTCAGTATCAGCCGGTATAACATATTTTACACAACGATGTATGATTCACCAAGCATACGTCAATTAGTCTACAATCATGATGAATAAAATCGTAGGCGTTATTCTACGTGGGTTGATGCTGATTGGGTTATCTCCAGACTGACGTTGATCACCATATCATCCAATAAAGGATAATCCATTGTTTGTCTGTCAGAGGTAGCCACGATCGAATTGACGTTCATTACCCTGAAATCAGTGTGGAAACCTACTGCAATCTGCATAAGGAGAAGCAAGGTCCGAATTTTCAACACTAATGTCAAGTCAGTGATTCCATATGGTTCAGAGACTTGGTGCGGGCGTTACCAAAAGCGTTCCCAACAGACTGTAGACTTTCATTAACAACTACCTTCTCTCCATACTGAAAACATACAGATAACCAGAAAGGGTCGGTAGAAAGGAACTCAGGGAAGAATTTATTAATTTAATAACTCCCATTGTAGCATTAAGAACACAATATTCAGCGAAAAGACTCTTTTCAACGAATTTATTATCAAGCTGTACAATCGTATAGATATGGTATTTTTAAATTATATCCGGTGAGGGAATCAAGTCAAAGGTGTGAATACATGAAATAATAATAGTATGAAATGCAATTAAAATATTTGTGATTATAATCATAGTTAAATATCAAGTGGCAAAATAATTAATGTCACATATAGAATGATACATAAGGTGTATAGATGAAGGACCAAGATAAAAAGGACATCTTCATTGCAAGCATAAGGGACAAAGCCGAGACACAAATCAACACTAGCGAAGAGATCGGCATCGAAAAGCACTGGAACAACTTGAAAACGGTGTGGAGTCAAACCTGCATGAAAGTTCTAGGGAGAAAGAAGAGGCAGGACAAACAGTGGCTCACTGCGGACACTTGGAAAATAATAAAAGGAGAGAAGAATGGTGAAACAAAAGATTATCCAGTACACCAACGAGAAACAAAAACAGGAGTTGAATGCAAGCTACAATACACTGAACAAGAGAGTAAAGAAGAGTACCAGAGAAGACGAAAGAAAATATTATGAAGCCATGGAAAGTGAAGTAGAACAAGCTGCAGTCAAAGGAGACCTCGCCACACTCTACCGAACAACTAGGCACATATCGGGTAAAAGTTCGTGACAGATTAAGCCAGTAAAGGATGACAATGGAAAGTCAATCACCAAAGTAGTAGAGCGAAGAAAACACTGGGCTGAACACTTCAAAAGACTTCTAAATCGACCGCCACCTACAACGCGCCCAACAATACCAACAACGGAAGCAGAACCACCAGTGAACATCGACCCCCTGACGAAATCAGAAGTCCTGAATGCAATCAAGATGCTAAAAGTTGGAAAAGCACCAGGACCAGATGGAATCCTAGCAGAAACATTGAAAATTGACCCAGAGACAACAGCGAACTTGATGACGCCACTGCTGGAGGAGGTGTGGAAAGAGGGCAAAGTACCCGAGGATTGGAGGAAAGGATACTTATTCAAACTACCAAAGAAAGGAGACTTAAGTCAATGCAAAAACTGGCGCGGAATTATGCTCCTGTCCATCCCAAGCAAAATACTAAGCCGCATCATCCTGGAGAGAATCAAACAAACCCTGGATGAAAAACTTAGACCGGAACAAGCTGGATTCAGGAGAAACAAGTCATGTATTGATCAAATCGCCACACTGCGGATCATCATTGAACAAAGCTTGGAATGGCAGTCGCCTCTCTATCTCAACTTGCGAATCAGAAGCTTGTAAACAATTTAAATTCACACAAGGGTAGATAATGCCACTAGAGGTCATATCTAAATTGGTTAAAACAAGTCGAACGAGAGAAAATATATGCAATGGAGAGATGAGAGTTTTCGGTGACCCAAGTTTTAAGCTGGCTGCAACAGAAATATGCAGAAGAAAGTGGAGATGGACTGAATAAACGCTAAGGAAGGAGGTCACTGAGTGTCATCACGTGCAATACTTTCGAGTGGAACTCGAACAGACAGCAACTGGTCATGTTAAGAGGAAATAAAGAATCGAGGGCGATGGGGAAGACAGCTAAGCCCAACTGAAGGGAATATAGCGAAATGGAGATGTTTTATTGAAATCCAAATGTGAAATAATGGATTGTGATGATTCATTAAAGGACAGTCTTACATTATTAAATATATTGTTATTAATATTAAATTTCCTCTAATTTCTAGAAGAACATAGGGCTTCTGCCTCACGTCTGCATTGCGTTCGGTTCTCTGCCAACGTTTTCATCTTACTCCTCGTCTGTTAACATGGCTCCATCTACTTCTCGCATGGCCTCCTCCATGTCACTTTCTCATGACGACTAACTCACTGGTTTCCATTCCAGTTTCAGTGTAGAGCCTGGCTTGTTAAGTCACTAGATAGCTTTCTTAGAGGATCGCCAATCCACCTCAATTTCTTCCTGCATATTTTTGCACAATCACTTCGTGTTTGGTTAGTTCTGGAAGATACCTGTTGCCGTTCTTGAGTATTGACAGAGGACAGGTGTTGATGGAAATATGTAGTTTGTTCGAAGTGTCCTCCGTGACGAGGCTCCAAGTCTCTGATCCGTATAGTAGCACTGACTTCACATTTGATTGGAAAATCTGGATCTTATTTTTCATGTTGAGTGCTGTTAATCTCCACACAGACTTGAGAGTCATAAAAGCTTGCCTTGCTTCTCCGATCCTCGGGTTGATATCCTTATCAGTTCCGTCCGCCTGTAGTTGAATTGATGCCTTCCAGGTTGGTAAAGGAGATTGCATCATATGGATTTCTCGCACTTATGCTGATTGTTGTCTGTTGTTATCGCTGTTGCTGTTGGCCAGGTATCTTCATCACTTGTGGTTTCTCTATGTTCACCCGAAGTCCTAACTCTGATGCTTTTTCTTCCAATCTGTTGCTTTTCACTTGCATGTCTTTCAGTTTGTGGAAATCAGAGATATATCATCGGCGAAATCCAGATCCTCCAAGTGTTTCGCGTGGGTCCATTTTGTGCCTGTTTCCCCATTGCCCGTTGTCTGTCGCATTATCCAGTGTACCATAATCAGGAAAATCATTGGAGACACTATGCAGCCTTGTTTTACTGCTTCTTTACCTCGAAGGATTCCGTGAATTTCCTGTTGTGGATTACTTGTCATTCAGCATTGTCGTACGACTATTGGATGAGGCGTATGATTGTTGTCGACAGCCCGTAGTAGCGAAGTAGTTTCCAAATCACCTCTCGATCGACACTGTTGATGGCTTTTTCAAAGCCGATGAAGTTGAGATAGAGAGGTGACTGCCATTCCACGCTCCGTTCAATGATGATACTTAGTGTTGTGATTTGATCTATGCATGACTTGTTTCTTTTAAAGTGTTCATTCCGGTGTTTCCTTTGCTCCACCTCTTTGTAGAGTGACTTTCCATTGTGATCCTTCACTGGCCTAATTTGTGTTGATCTCTTCCCCGATAAGAACCCAGTTGCTTGATGAAGTGTTGCGAGGTCTCGTTTGCCTGCAGCTTATTCTGCTTCACTTGCCATAGCTTCATAATACTTTCTTTTGTCATCTCTGGTACTCTTCTTTACTCTCTTGTTCAGTGTATTGTAGCTTGCATTCAACTTCTGTTTTTGTTTCTCGTCGGTGCACTGGATAATCTTTTGTTTCACCATTCTTCTCTCTTTTATTAGTCTCCACGTGTGTGTGTAGTGCGCCACTGTTTTGTCCTGTCTCTGCTTTCTCCCTAGAACTTCCATGAAGGTTTGACTCTACACCGCTTTCAGGTTGTTCCAGTGCTTTTCAACGCTGACCTCTTCGCTATTGTGTTGATTTTTGTCTCCATTTCTTTCCTTATGCTTGCAATGAAGATGTCCTTTGTATCCTGGTCCTTCAGTTTTTAAGTATTGAACTTGCCTTGTGGTCTATCTGCAGCGCCTGTTTCTTTGAAAGCTTTTAATTTGATTTGGACTGTTCCTTGTACGATATAGTGGTCTGAGCCGACGTCTCCTCCTCTTCCTACTTATATGTCCTGTAAGCTGCGTCTCTACTTCCTTGAGCAGCATTGAGATAAAGTCAATTTGGTTTTTGGTTCTCTTGTCAGGGGACGCCCATGTAGCCTTGTGGATATCCTTGTGCTTGTGTATGCTGCCACCATTCACTAGTTTATTGAAGGCACAGAAGTCATCGAAGAGTTATTCGTTTTTATCCATCTCTCTGGGAGCTTCTCTACCCATGATTAATCCCCATTAGATTTCTTATTTATATGCCGTCAATCATTGAAACGCAAGGCGAAACTATGTTTTCAATTCATTGGGTGACATTCTGGTCATATCATAATGAGACACAGTCCTGAGCCTATTTTTTGTGAGCCCAAATAAATTTTTGATTATAGAGTAAAGCGAAGACTAATACTATCTAGAGGATCAATCCTAGTTCTCCTAAATTTTTTAATTATAAATTTCAATAGGTAACTAAGTGCAATTCATCAAACTCAACAAGAGAAACAAAATATAAGTACCATTAATCTTTATTGATTAATGTATCTTTCTGTACTATCATTCTGATAGTGAATTACTGAAATCAAACAGCGACATGAAAATAACCAGAATAACATTGATCAAAACATGGTTATTGTATTTTACTCAACAAGAAATAACATTCAACAAGACATTGAAATTAACTCCCCACTAAACAATTCTCTCCTTCGACTAATTTGGTTTAAGCAGCTGTAATGTATTACCAGAACATCACATGTGTACCGAGGCTGTGCATCAGAATAATTAATTGCGAAGGAATGTTTAAGTTAGATAAAAATCTGTATAAAGTGTGCCAGGTACGTGCATACTCTTGCACTTAGTAATAAAATATACCTACCCAGACTGCAGCGAACAAATTGAAATGGATTTGTTTTGGTGAAATCCATTGTTCCACTAGGAATCCATTTCACTGTCAAATTCATGCTAAACTTGTTTACCACAGCTTTCATAATTTATTCAACTTAGTGTATCATTCATTGGTTATAGTTTTGTTGATTTTAGAATATCTGGTCTTACTGTCCTGTGTTATCCGTTATTGTTTGAAGCCCAAGACTTTTATCTTCTACATGATATGCAAGTGGTTATAGATGAAGCTAAGGTAAGTGATGTATACACATCTGTTCTGTTATCAGAATAATAATATTCATTGTTGTTATTATTAAAATTTCATCTACTGCTATTCATAAACTATGGTAGAATGCTCGGTACCTTTGCACTTTTTCTGGGTTCGATCCTCGGCCTATTAATTCTTTAAAATAGCTTAGTTTACTACATAATAGTAAGACAGGATGAAGTGATGGATTACGCTTGAGTCTATCAACTCCATCTCGTCAACAAACGTCTAGTGAAACTTCAAAGCTTATATCTTGAGACTTCATGTTCCACTTGGAATACATGGGAATAGTAAGATTGTGATCAAAGTAGAGATATTCTCGTTATCAGAAGAAGTTAAATATTCGTGAATTTACACATGAAATCAGTCGAGTAAAAAATAGTTATGCAAGTAATAAAAAGTATTTCTATCCAAACAAAATTACTCTCCAACAAAGTGAATGATCTAAAAGCCATCCATAAGACGATTAGATGATATCGGAAGATGAAAATAAACACCAAGTTAGGCTATCAAAATAAACAGATGAATATCGGGAAAGCAAACTAAACGAGTTAGTACTTAAAAAGGTAGCAATAATTTTGTAAGACTTCTGTGGAACACATAAAGATTGTATTCTTCAAACTGAGTAGCTCTAGCAATTTAAGGGAGTTGGAAAGTGTTTTGTCTGTTGACCACTTTGGAGGATTCTAATATGTTTTTCTAGTGTTCCTCGATTGGGCTAAGGCCTAGACTCTGCAACATTTGTTTAACTGTCGTAGTAATCCAATTTTTCCTCTGTTTTTTTTATGAACTTCTTTCCTCTTATACACATAAATCAACTAATCCGGAGGTCACTCTCATTTCGTTACTCAAATGTATCATACGAACGCAATGCATTGAGCATTCCTCTTGAAATTCCTTCACTATCTATCAGAATCTGGGATGCTGACATCGATCCCTCCAACTATAACTGAGGTTATAAAACCTGTCTGTAATTTAAAACAGAACAAAGCAGCAGGACCTGATGGAATGGCTCTAGAGGTGTCTAAGGACTGCAGTTACAGACTGATGTCTGGTTTAGCTAAGGTATTAAGTAATGTATGGCAATCAGAGATAGTTCCGTTTTTGTTATTCCTTTACGTTCCCGGTGGAACATAGGACTTCAAGCTAGAGGCCTGAAGTTTCTTTAAAGGTGGTGATTAGTTTTTACAGGATGGGGTTGCTAGCCTCATACCCAACCATCCCTCCTTACCAGTCTTATCTCTGGCGAGGTAAAGGAGTACGTCGGCTGATCCTCATGGATATATATATATATATATATATATATATATATATACGGACGTATCCATCAAGGATGTCCTCCGTCTCCATTTTAGTTTAATTTCATGATAGATTTGGAATAAAATTGACCTTAATAAGATTTTAGCCATTCAGACTTCGAAAGTTTTTAAGTGAAAGTAGAATTCTAATGCATAATGTTATGTTTTAGACTATTCTGAATAATTTTCATGTACAAAGCATAATGTATTCGATTATAATTTCATTATACAACATTGTGTTTTTGCTATCACCGTATATCAGTTTTTCCGTATCTGACCTTTTACAACAATTTAATTAGTAAATGAATATCAAAGAAATCGAATTTTTCATTGCAATATTTATGCTCACTTAGTGTTGGCGAATTTTATTTTTTAGGTTAACAAAGTGCATCAAGTAATATTTTCACTCAGATATTTTGTTTCGATTCACCAGTTTCGCTATTCATTAATATGCTTTGTCGCTTCCTTTCTGATTCTTTTTTTCAGACAGATTTTTTGTTTCTTTCAAATTGGTGGAGATTACGTGGACGTCCAACATTTTGTTTTCTTATGCGTGAGGATATGGTGAAGTAAGCTTTTCTTAGCCTTTGATAAATGATGGTTTGTAATGACAGAAAACAAGGGCCCAGGCAACAGATCCCTTATTTAAAGAAATCAATACATAATCATAGATTTTCATGTACATTATTATAGTTTATTGTTAGCAGAAAAACAAAGTCTTCTAGTTAGTTGTTTCTCACTGTAAGTTAATCTTCCATCTCTTTGTGGCTGTTTCTTGAATGTCAGATCATCTATATGCTAACTGTATCCGCATACTCAAAGTCTGCTGTGGTTAGTTGTGGAATCAGTCTTTGTTCTTGTTTTTTCTCACGATCAATATTGGGGATGTAAACTAGTATCAAACGATGGGGGTAACAGCCAGCTCTCACCACACTATTAGTATCTGATTACTGTGACGTTTTGTACGTTGCTGTTATACCGACAGATTTGTATTGCAGTATTATCCAAATTGATGTGGGGGGATAATTACATGTTTTTTTACAGCAAGTTAAACATATGAAAAATATCTTTCGAATAAACAGTATTCATAATGTTTTAAAGTAAACCTAAGTTAAATCTTCTCCTATGTATTTGACTTCAGATGTTAACAGTTTAACTCATAGTTAATTCTCCTAATTGCTGAAATGTACTCCGGTCTTACTTCATGGTTTCCCCTTATTCTTTGTTCCTTTCTAATAACTTGATCTAATTTTGGTGACTTTCTTCTCTAATGCTTTTTTGGGTTTCTCATCCTCTTTTTGATTCCTTGCATTATCAGGGAAACGTGCAAATTTTAGCTGTGGACTTTTAAGCTCCTCTAACAGTAATGTGATTTATATGCAATGGGGTTGCTGGGTTTACGACTGACCTTCCGTCATTTTCTGGCCTTACTCCTCGTTTAAGTCTTTTCCGTGGGTTATATATATGTATAAATAACGGAAAGTAAGTCGTAAATCTAGCGATTCGAACATTGGGCTTCACTAAAACATCTCCATTTCGCTATATTCCCTTCAGTTGGGCTTAGCTGTCTTCCCCATCGCCCTCGATTCTTTATTTCCTCTTAACATGACCAGTTGCTGTCTGTTCGAGTTCCACTCGAAAGTATTGCACGTGATGACACTCAGTGACCTCCTTCCTTAGCGTTTATTCAGTCCATCTCCACTTTCTTCTGCATATTTCTGTTGCAGCCAGCTTAAAACTTGGGTCACCGAAAACTCTCATCTCTCCATTGCATATATTTTCTCTCGTTCGACTTGTTTTAACCAATTTAGATATGACCTCTAGTGGCATTATCTACCCTTGTGTGAATTTAAATTGTTTACAAGCTTCTGATTCGCAAGTTGAGATAGAGAGGCGACTGCCATTCCAAGCTTTGTTCAATGATGATCCGCAGTGTGGCGATTTGATCAATACATGACTTGTTTCTCCTGAATCCAGCTTGTTCCGGTCTAAGTTTTTCATCCAGGGTTTGTTTGATTCTCTCCAGGATGATGCGGCTTAGTATTTTGCTTGGGATGGACAGGAGCATAATTCCGCGCCAGTTTTTGCATTGACTTAAGTCTCCTTTCTTTGGTAGTTTGAATAAGTATCCTTTCCTCCAATCCTCGGGTACTTTGCCCTCTTTCCACACCTCCTCCAGCAGTGGCGTCATCAAGTTCGCTGTTGTCTCTGGGTCAATTTTCAATGTTTCTGCTAGGATTCCATCTGGTCCTGGTGCTTTTCCAACTTTTAGCATCTTGATTGCATTCAGGACTTCTGATTTCGTCAGGGGGTCGATGTTCACTGGTGGTTCTGCTTCCGTTGTTGGTATTGTTGGGCGCGTTGTAGGTGGCGGTCGATTTAGAAGTCTTTTGAAGTGTTCAGCCCAGTGTTTTCTTCGCTCTACTACTTTGGTGATTGACTTTCCATTGTCATCCTTTACTGGCTTAATCTGTCACGAACTTTTACCCGATATGTGCCTAGTTGTTCGGTAGAGTGTGGCGAGGTCTCCTTTGACTGCAGCTTGTTCTACTTCACTTTCCATGGCTTCATAATATTTTCTTTCGTCTTCTCTGGTACTCTTCTTTACTCTCTTGTTCAGTGTATTGTAGCTTGCATTCAACTCCTGTTTTTGTTTCTCGTTGGTGTACTGGATAATCTTTTGTTTCACCATTCTTCTCTCCTTTTATTATTTTCCAAGTGTCCGCAGTGAGCCACTGTTTGTCCTGCCTCTTCTTTCTCCCTAGAACTTTCATGCAGGTTTGACTCCACACCGTTTTCAAGTTGTTCCAGTGCTTTTCGATGCCGATCTCTTCGCTAGTGTTGATTTGTGTCTCGGCTTTGTCCCTTATGCTTGCAATGAAGATGTCCTTTTTATCTTGGTCCTTCATCTATACACCTTATGTATCATTCTATATGTGACATTAATTATTTTGCCACTTGATATTTAACTATGATTATAATCACAAATATTTTAATTGCATTTCATACTATTATTATTTCATGTATTCACACCTTTGACTTGATTCCCTCACCGGATATAATTTAAAAATACCATATCTATACGATTGTACAGCTTGATAATAAATTCGTTGAAAAGAGTCTTTTCGCTGAATATTGTGTTCTTAATGCTACAATGGGAGTTATTAAATTAATAAATTCTTCCCTGAGTTCCTTTCTACCGACCCTTTCTGGTTATCTGTATGTTTTCAGTATGGAGAGAAGGTAGTTGTTAATGAAAGTCTACAGTCTGTTGGGAACGCTTTTGGTAACGCCCGCACCAAGTCTCTGAACCATATGGAATCACTGACTTGACATTAGTGTTGAAAATTCGGACCTTGCTTCTCCTTATGCAGATTGCAGTAGGTTTCCACACTGATTTCAGGGTAATGAACGTCAATTCGATCGTGGCTACCTCTGACAGACAAACAATGGATTATCCTTTATTGGATGATATGGTGATCAACGTCAGTCTGGAGATAACCCAATCAGCATCAACCCACGTAGAATAACGCCTACGATTTTATTCATCATGATTGTAGACTAATTGACGTATGCTTGGTGAATCATACATCGTTGTGTAAAATATGTTATACCGGCTGATACTGAGATATTCTTTTCGGCTGACATCGTTGTGTGTTCTCGCTTAAGTAGAACGGGCTGGGGTACAGGTAGCTAGCTGTTGTATAGTGATGTTGGAGTAGTCAAACGGTATTCGTGATCACTGTGTCTATGTCTAGCTCGACGTCTCTATCCAACTAAATGTATTGCAAAATATAAAAGTGGTGACATAATAACACATACTCATCCAGTCAAATGTAGTTGAAACGATGCTGCACAACCAGGTAAGTGAAAGAAGGTGACTTCCTTCACACTTCTCCAGTTGATGATGATTGGTGCTTGTTGTTTTTGGGTAGACATCTTCGTCGCCAATCTCTCTTCTCTATGCTATTGCCAGTCTTTTAAGTCCATTAAATCCTCCTCATTATCGTCAATATACCTGTTGTTTCTTCCGTTCATTTGAATGATTTCTTTACTATGTGCTGTATGATTTGTATTCCTTAATTTATAGCTAATTTTCACACTAAATTTACATAGGAGCACGTAAGGCAGTAACAAATTCTTTAAGGTAACAATATAACTCCCCAGGAAATGCTTTCACTGAATGACAAAAAGTTTCATCAAATGTTGATCCGTAGACATATTAATCGATCATATATGAAATTTTTAGAGGAAAGACTTTTCATATTTGTGTTTATTACACAATCTACCTTGTACTTGCGACTTTTGTGTATTCAAAATTTTTAACAGACTTATGTCTGAAACTGATAAATTTAATAAGAAATTTGTTTCAGTTTTTTTTACTTGGGTGATCTCGTACATATATTTTACTCATTGGTTAACTAGAAAATGACAGTTATTCGAAATCTACTGAGTTTGTTTTCTTTCTCACCTAGTCTTTTCTTTTCCACTGTCACTGTTTCAATACAACAGGGTTCCAGGATTTGATAAATTGCTTCGCTTTCTGGTGAGCATGAAGAATGGTACCGTACAGGAAGCTCATGTCGTTCTTGGACGTGCACAGGTAGGTATTAGTCTCCTAACATTTAACATTCCTTTTACTTTCGTGTATCTACGATATTGATTTTTATATGTGTCTGCATAGTACTAGGACAATTTTTACTTTCTCTAACGCGAACCGTTTTCCTGCTTAGTGAGTAAGCCTATGTGATGTAATCGCTTTGCATTTTGATCATAGATTATTATGGAAATATTCAAGAATATGAATCTTCCATTCTGACACTGTTACCGTTATAATCTGCTTCAGTCTACTGAATTGTATTATCGTAATTTTTTCTTATTATCACCATTTTGTCCGTGTCGTGCGAGGAGGAGATGAGAGATCATAGGTAATCGTGGATCCAGCTGAAGAAGACAGCACCAAATAGAACAAAGTAGAAATGTGTTGTTGAAGCCGTATGTGCCACTTGGAATCCAAGGGAATAATAATAATGAATATAAACATCATCTGATTGATCAAGTATGAAAATACTGATTAGCCATAAAGACTCTATTATTGGCCTCTTAAATGGTCACTGCTTACGATAAACCAAAAGCGTTTTCAGGTAAATCCTTTGACATAATGTGTCTAATATGGTTAAAGAATTTTGTGCTTAATGAAACGCCCATAACCAGCTGAAGTATTGGAGTTTGATTGTAAATGCAGAATTTGGCATCGGGATTTCGTGACGTGTGCTACTGACAAGATTTGTAGATTTATGTGTATAAGCTGGAATTATACTGAGTAGCGAAGAGATGGATTTTATGAACTATGCTTGTGAAACAATGTGGATAATATAAGAGGAAGAGGATGAAGAACATCATGGTAGACAAAGCTGCACAATACCGAAGATATGTCCAAGTCGTGATTATGAAATGTAATAGATGTATATTGCCAATACCAATCAATCGATTTTCGCGTAATTTTTGCGTTACTGAATTCTCTTCAGTTGGGTGTATTTCCATCGTGGACTGATTATATTTACTGAGATGTGACATTGACACATTATTCATATCTTGTGATAATAATAATACATTGTCATTAAATAACGTTGCTTTCGACTTTGTTTCATTCAACCCTCGTGCTATAAACAGCTTTCTGCTGTACTACGTATGTGGCCGCCAGTGTCATAGGCACACATTATATGTATTTAATACGCTAACCTTAGTTAGGTTACTGACATGAATTCTCTAATGTAACGTTGTATAAATTCCACAAGTTACTTTTTATTCATACTGTCTAGGATAACCAATCTTAGCTGTTCATTGGAATTCTACTGATTTTTATTGTATTACAACTTAACAACTCTTAGTTTATTTTATCCAAATAATTTATGAATGTAAACTTTGTAAAACGATGGCCTATATATATATGGCTGTCGCATATTTGCTTTGTCTGATTTTTCATTTCATTTCATTCCTGTTAGAACTGAGTGCTTCAAGCTTTTATCGTTAACATTTCAGTGGACCTTGTGTATTTTTACGGAGTAGGATTGCTAGTTTCATTCTCAACCGTCTCTCTTTTTGCAGGCCTACTACTAGTTATTTGAAGTGTAGTAGGACGTCGACGGGATATTGAACCTGTACCACGCGCTTGGTTGGTGGCAATCCTGTCCCTAGACAACCAACGCACTACTTCGCATGGTGATATAAAATAAGCAAATTGTTAGGCTGTGCAAAAACAATAAAATTAATGTATCCACATTCTACTTAAAATGGCTAGTCAATATAGGCTCTTAATACCGTCAGCTCCTACTTATAAGAAAAATCATTTTAGAACGTTCCACTGTTCTCTTTTATTATATACACGTGTGTATACACCACTTTTTTCAGAAATTTGTTTCAAGTGGATTCGTGGAACACTTGGATTTTCTACCTTATTGGACCGCTAAAGGTGAATATTTTCGTAGATTACATCAATTGGATGCTGGACGTTCATATAGAAGTTTAGATAATCTACCTAAAGCGGTTGGTATATCGTCTAAATCTTTAGGTCGATCAAAATTCCATATATCAGATGAAGACATTTTTCGCAGCATTCACATGATGGACAGAGGAGTAAGTCATGTATAATATATATATATATATATATATATATATACTGGTTTCTTGTGTTACGAGTTGAACATAAGGCTTCAAGCTTTGGATACTGAAGTGTCAGTAACGGTGTTGTTCTGACACAATGAGCTGTTAACCTGGAGCTTTTCTTATTTCCTGACTTACTATCGGTTGGTAAAATAGACTGGGCTTAGGAATGAGTCAACCGGGAATTAAACCGGCGCCTAGTGCGTGTAGCTAAGGTAAATTATTTACCTCTGAAGCATCATTTCATGTATTTACCATGTAAATATGAAGTCAAGAAATGAAAATGCAATGATTTTTGGTTGTTGCTTTTTCTACCATTGAAGAATATAGTTTGATGTCCGTTTTTGTTTTGAAAAATGACCTTATACTTCAGGTGTTGTTTCCCTTGTGTAATCAGAAATCATGTGTTAATCATGTAATTTTGTGAATGACACACATTTTTGAATGTTTTTATTATAACGGAGGGTTGTTGTCAAACTGCACTTAAATAAACCCAATGGTCAGATTAAACTGTGACAGCGACAACGCTTCATTATTCAAAATACATGTTATACACAATTTAAAAAATCCTAAAATTCAGTCCATCAATAAACAGATCTGATTGGTTGCATACTATTGCACATCCTCGGAAATTCAAGTCAAAAGTAAACCAATCAAAAACTGTCCAGTGAGGTTATCATGGCAGTGGATGCATCAATCGTGATGTCATTACTAACGACGATGGGTTGTCCGTCTTGACTGTTTTTTTCATTTCTCAATGAAATATCATATTGGGGGAGATATCAGTAAACAAAGGGAAACTGGCTGCTCGAATGTTTGAGTAAAATGTCCTTGTCTGAGATATTTTGTTCAGAAAACTATCCTGTCAACTGAATCGCTTGTTGCTCATTAAATTCATTACGGAATTTATTGTATTTCTGATTACGTAATTTTATTGTGATTATTGTTATTGAGTTCTCATCTAGTGGCCGTATTCTCATTCATTATAGTAGCTATTAGATAGCGAGAAAGAATTATCTTGAAGGAATTCTAGGAACGAACCAATCAAGAGCCCATCACCGAAAGAATGGATCAAGAGAAATGGTTATGGTTCGGACTCACACTGATGAGACCGTTGAGTGACATCAGGCGCTTGACCTTCGAGTGAAACTCGAACGTAAAATGATGAAATGGACATTCGAGGGTAACATAAAGGAAATCATGTGTGGTGGAAATAAAGGTTTATGGTCAATTGTATCACCAGCTAAAGAGGACTGCAGAGAACTGGATTAAATGAAGATGTACTGATGAAGCTTTGTGTTCCATTCACAACCAAAAGTCGTAATAATAGTTACTGTAATTACAAGTCTGTTTTGAATCATTTAATGCGTGTAGTTCACAAAAAAATGTAACTATACAGTAAAAGCAGGTATCAGGACACAGAACATCCAGTGGTTAGGACTCTTGTTTCCTTTAAAAAATAACCTATTTGCTTGTTTTGTAAAGAAGAAATTCAATTTTTCCATCTGCATTCTTCCCACTTATTTTTTATCTGTTGATTTAATTTATTCAGCCCTTACAAAATTTAAGTGATCTCCAAGTAATTGAACAAGCTATTAAACCTGGAGATGATCCATTAAATTTAGCCCATCGTGTAGCTGCTTTACATGAACTGTTGAGTCGTCATGGTTTAGATCACGGATTTTCTACTGATGAACACTTTCTTATTGTTCGAGATTGTCTTACTGAATTGTCTCGCAAAGCTGGTATTCAACAAACATGGTTAGCCTCTTTTATTTTAAAAAAATAATAATCTCAGCTTTTAAAGTTGTCTTTCTTTCAGTCAGTACTTTAACAGACTTATGTGTAAGATTATGTGGTCACAGGATTTGGGGTTAAATTTAAAAATTCTGAGTATTTAAATGATATGGGTGATAGTAGGCAGTTGGAAAGTAACCCCATATAATTCAATTATAATTTCTCTGACCGCATTATTTGATGATAGGTGTTAAAGATCTCCAGAGGAGAGAATCATTTCTTCCGAAGCTACACAGTCAACTAAGGTTTGATGAGTACCATTAAACAAGTAAAGCTAACAACTTCTTGCAACCCCGCCTAAAACCAATTCAAAGCACCACGCTGTTGCCTAGTGATCTAGCTTGGTGACGTTGCAAGCCTTATTGATAGAATTAATCAGCACTCACAACTAGACAGATGATATTGATTACTCCCTGATGATCAGTCATTATAAATGAAATACTACTGCAGTACTTCTACATTAAACTGAAATTTTCAGACTAGTATGTTTATCTTTAACAATCGATGTTCTGTTGTGAATGTGCTGTAGCAATAGTGAGTCTGTTTATACAAATACTTTATTCATTAAGTCACCTAAACTTACATACGAATTAGCCACTAGTTGTGTTTGTCAACAGTTTATAACTATAAAAACCACTTGTTTTACACTGGGACAATTAATTAATTAATAGAAGAAATACCGTATTTCCTTATTTTAACCATATACTACCTGTAGATAGAAAATACTTGGAAACAGGCCATTCTTGTGTTTTTGTTTTAGTCTTCTACGCACAGTTTCATTGATGCATACTTATTTATCCATGATATTTAAGTATAATCACAATATAGCAACTCAGTTAAGTGATCAAATATGGGATTGATTTTCTTTGGTAAATCAGTTTATCTCTGCAATAAAACATAATTATCTGATAATTATAATCATTATGTAGTGTGTATTCATAACTTTTTCTGACAATTTTTATGAAGGTTTTCATTACTTACCCTCATTTCAGGGAATTTTTTTACCATTTGGTCGTTCAGGTAAAACTACTTCAGTCGTGTATACTGCCATTCACACTGAAATAACGTAGTTAAAAGGCTGTCTCAAAACTTCATTTCTCATATCCTAATGAGAGGAAGACAGCTGACGTTGTAGCTTACTTCTTGTGGTCTGAATGCTGGAGACCAATCTTCGCATTCTACCGTATAGCTAACAAAAACTTTCTTGAGCTACGCACGGTCGCAAGGTTGACAACGAAAAGAGTTATTTGCGATACAATCCATGGTACTATTTGTTAGTGATAACAAACTAAATCCTTCCTCAACAATGCCGTTATCAGCTGTCCAGATAAGAGAGTTCTCGCTGACATGATAGGTAATGTACAGCGAAATGAGTTAACAATAATCGGACTTTAGAAGTACCTGAGAATCAAGTAGAATATTCCCAACAAGGTGCGATTAAAACCCTCAGCAGGAATCTCGCACCAAACACTTTCTGCAGACACCCCAAGGTTGAAATCCCCATGGCCAACCTTGGGTTCTTTAACACAAAATCACAATCCTTCAGCAACACATAAACATCATCGCACAATCTTAAACAGAAGCATTAGGATTAGGGCTAAGACGATATCAAAGTCAACAGAGGATATACAATGTTTAGAATAATGATATATAGACTATGAGAAGTGAGGATAATCAATACAAAGTTGGCTGAAATATCAAAATGAGTATCAGAATTGTTAAATACAGCATCCATGATGAATTCTACAAATAACTATTCCGTCACAGAGGTTTTGTAACGACGTGTTTATGCGTGTTTGATAATAAGGTCCACCAAGTAAAATATTCGAAATTATTGTTTTTTCTCCATTGACTGCAGCTACTGAATGGCTAATTGTATACTATTGAAAACTTTCAGTAAGTAGTTAACTTCACTACATAGTAGGTAATACATTTCCTTCTTAATGACCTTTTTTATAGTCAGTCAGTCTGTTTTCGACATAGAACTTTGCACACATGTGCGGTAGTTCAAGTCGCCACACTCCATGTAGCACACAAAGCAAGAGAAGTAAGTAGAAGAAATGCATAATAGAGACAGTAAACATAGGTGTGAGACAAAGGAATAGTAGTAACGAATAACAAGACAGTTTCATTGGAAATCATAAGTCACAAGGAATGGATGCATCGATGCCATTGAGAACGATTTTGAGCCATGTCACCAATTGTTTCCAACCATTGACTTTTACCGTCCCTAGGACCCCAACTAGGAAGTCTACACCTTTCTACGTGGCTTAGACTAACTGTTGTAGATTTCATTGACTGATGCCATGTTTTGGTTTGACCGCTGCTAACTCTTTTCCAGCCTGACCCTATATCAGCTAACATTGCCCGTCGAGGAAGGCGATGACCAGGCATAAGTAACACATGTCCTAACCATCTCAGTCGACGTAGCTTCACAGCCTCGTCGGTTGATTTCCCCTCCTTACCTAGAACTCGATGCCTAACCTCAATATTGGTCACCTTATTATACCATTTCACACGGGAGATAGAACGCAGGCACCTATGATCAAAGACAGCTAATATTTTCATGTCTTCCAGTCTCAGTGGCCAGGTCTCAGCCATAAAGGAGGACGGAGCGAACTGATGAGCAGTACACTCGTCCTTTGGTCGAAAGCCGGATATCGTTTCTACGCCAGAGACGGCGTAAACTGGCATAGGCGAAACTAGCCCTCTGTATCCGTGCTGAGATTTCGTCAGAGATCAACCCGTTGGCACTGGCTGATGGTACTTCCCAAATAAGTGAAGCGGTCAACGTGCTCTACCACTTCACTTCCTATTTCTAATCTAGGAGTCGGTGTGGTCCAGTTCTGTTGCATTATCTTGCATTTGGCGGGAGCGAATCGCATGCCGAACATCCGTAGATTGCGGCTCAAGGTGTTTAGAAGACTCTGCATTTTGTCAGCGTCCTCGCCTAGAAGGACTATATCGTCTGCATATTCTAAGTCAGCGAGATTATTCCCTAGTAGAAAGTCAATCCCTGAGTCTCTGAAGTGAGTTAGGGTTAAGTGCATTACCACATACTTTTATGATGAAGTTGATTAGAAATGGGGATAATGGGCATCCTTGACGGACACCGCTAGTCGTCACCACTTCAGATGACAACTCGCTGTAAGCCCTCATCTGGCTGTATGAGTTTGAGTAGAGTCCCTTGATCAGTGCAATGTATTTTCTCGGCATTACCTTTACAGCCAAGCATCGCCAGAGAACCTCTCGGTCTACAGAATCGAATCCCGCCTTTAGGTCAAGAAATATAATGATTGTTGGACGCCTATGTTCTAGAATCTGTTGGAGGATGAAGATACTGTCAATACACCCTCTTCCTGGTCTAAAGCCTGCCTGGCTCTCTTGTGTTTGTGCCTCCCGAGCACCACTTAGTCTACGCAATATTATTGAGCCTAAGACTTTAGATACTATATTAGTCAAGCTAATCCCTTTGTGATTATCACAGGAAGACTTGTCTCCCTTCTTCTATATGGGGATAATCAATGACTTACACCAACCCGATGGGACTTCCGGTGATTCCCAGACACTGTCTAGTACCTCAGTTAATGCAGACAGTAAACTGTCTCCACCGTACTTAATTACTTCTGGAGTCATTCCATCAGGTCCTGCTGCTTTGCCTTGTTTCAGACTAGTGACAGCTTTAGTAACCTCAGTTAGGGACGGAGGACCTGTGTCTATATCTTATTCAGGGAGGTATTGGATGCTCGGCAGGTTGAGCGTGGCTGTGGGTCAATTAAACTGCTCATCATAGTGCTCTTTCCAGCGTTCCAGTCGTCTATCCTGAGAGCTAATTATGGTGCCATTTTTCTCAGAGATTGTTTCACTTGTCATTTGCCTTTTACCACCTGTTTCCCTGATGAGTCTAAATAGTTGCCTGGTGTTGCCAATTGCCGATGCCTTTTCTTTTTCCATCTCTTTCGCTTTTGTCACCCACCCCTGTTCACGGTCGTTGCGGAGACTTCTTGTTAGTTTGCGTTTGAGTAGCTCTCGTTCCTCATCGTAATCGAGGCTCGCCGGAATCAGTCTTGCGTCAATCAGTTCGGATGAGGCGGTAGAGATCCAATGGATCTTACTAGCTTTTGGTTTTAGCTTTTTTACAGCTGTGTCTACAGCTAACTGTATGTTGTGCCAAGTTACCTCAGTGGAAGTCCTGCTGTCGACCTCAGATACTCGTTTCGCTATTTCTTCCTTAAATAGGGACTCAGCGTCTCAATCTAGTTGAGGACGTAACTGTTTCGCTGCCGTCAATTTCTAATGATCATTTAGTCGTAAGCACCAAACGTGCGCGAACCAGAGCGTGATCGGAGTCTACACACGTGTTCCAGAAGTAGCGACTGTCTTTATAGTGCCCCTACCTTTACCGATTTCAGCACTTAACTTTCAGTTCGTAGGTCTTAGCTTTAAATTCCGTCACTCTAAGGTAACCGGATTTTATTGTTACAAGCCGTCGTTCATCAGGCTAAATTCATATCCTAGGCTGGGATATAGCAATCTGTACGCAGTAACCGAGTTATGTTTAATAATTAGCGCTTAGATTTAGGACTCTGTAGGGATTTTAATTAACTCCAATGGATGAGTTGTGGTTGGTAAAATGTACTGCGTCAAGTGTGAAGCGGATGCGACAGCGTTTTACCACTAATTGACAGAAGGTAAAATTGACTAATCACTGAACTCCACCCAGTTGATGAATAGCCAATTGGCTGCTCTCGCAATCTCAAGGTTCTATGTTCGACCCCTCGTGGCATTATGGGTGTACACAACTGAGAAATAATGAAGTAGAGAGAAACATCTCTCAAGTGCTTTTTACCAAGGTTTCGTATCTATTTACAGTATTATTTTAATATTGTTTTCAGGTGTGTAGTACGGTTGTGTGCAGCTTTATTGTCTCAATTCGCCAATAGTTTAGCTCCATCTTTATCAATTATTCTGGTTTGCGGTAAACAAGTTACGGTTGGTGTTGCACAAGGCTCAGAAGTTGTAGTGAATAAACCTTTAAATCCAGATGAATTATGCTCTTTGTTACGTGAAGAAGTTTACTCGCATGATCCAGTACAATTTTCATTGCAACAAGAAATTATTCTGTGGGTTAGTAGTTTATTAACTTCAAATAAAGAGTTATTTGATGGAATCAAATTTATTCGACTAGGGTAAGTTGATATTTCTTTTATCTTACTGTGCGTCGGTGGCACAGTGGTTAGGACTCTCGCCGACCATGCACATGGTCCGAGGTTCGAGCCCTCGCCGATGCACACCTGATATCTATGGTCGGCCTGTGAAATTTGGGCTACCGATATCCACGCTGAAAATTCCATACTTGTACCAAAAGTACAGTGTGGAATCAAGCTGTAATCAAAAATTAAAAATTAAAATTAAATATTAGTATTATCTGTAGTAGTTACAATAAAGAAGTCGTTACGTATACTGATTAATATAATGTTTATAGAGATTTCTTACGAAATTGTTTCACTGGACTTATCCTAATTAACATTTCTCTTCTTGCCAGTAAACTTAAACTTGGAAGCTTATATGAATCTGAGTAAATAGGTATACCATGGATTCGGCTTTTGTATTTGTTAGCTAATTTATCCGTAACCGTTAAAAGAATTACAGCTGTTGAAACAATTAAAAATAATCAACCAATAATTTATCAGCTAATAAATAATTCTGTAGTGTACAAGTGAGAATCTATTGATATTTTTGGATTATTGAAGATTGCTACATATCTTCAGTATCACTTCCAGCAGCATTTCATCTAGCATAAGTTACGTACGCCAAAATGTTACCAGTCAAAAATATGCATATACATACACTGAATAACTTTATGTGTGCAAAGTTCCATTCGTTTGATGTGATACCGTAGTTTCTGTTGCGCTGTCACAAGCTTGAATAAAGTTTGTATACTTATTAATTTAACAACTGTATTGTTGAGTGAGGTTAATGTCTATCGCGAGATGTTTTCGCGCTCAGTATAGCAAAAATCACAACATATATTCTGGCTGCGTGAACATATGATGGAAGACTTTTAAAACAGACAAACGTAACACCAGATATGATTGCAGCCTTCCTTTACGCCCGTAATACAAAATCAACCACGTGAGGAGATTCAAACCGTAATTGATCGCCTCCGTCCCACCTATACAAGTATACTGAAAAGAAAGCGCGGCGAGTTTGACTTGCGGTATCGTCCCCCATTTCGTTACTACGTTTTTTAAAAGGCTAAATATTTCCATACCTTTATTATTATTTAGTAAAATAAACACTATTGACTTAAATAGTTACCAAATTCAATGGTTTCTGTGTGAAACTCAAATGTTTGTTTAATCAAAATACCATACAGAGAGTGAGTGGCACTAAATAACAAAGGTAAAAAAATTCTTTCCTTTACGATCTGGGTATAATTCAATTCGCTATAAATGTACAAATACCACTTGAAGTGCACTAGAATTTCATTGGTATTATTATTTCACTCAGTGTGGCGATGTTAAACTTTGCACACCCAACAAACATGCACGCACCAATAACCTTGAAACGCCCACTTAGGTCAAGGTAAATAACATTGTATTCATTAAAAGTGTTGAATGAAGTCTACTGGTGTTAAACACGATATAATAATAATAATTTACTTTATTCCAAAAACTGTACTTGTGATACAGAATGCAATTTTCAGCATTAATCGCAATACTGCATCTAAATTCCTCAAATTATAAACAAATATTAATCACACAGAAAAACTTCCATATTTACAACAGGGGTAATGTCAGAAACATGCAGCTTATAAAATAGAAATAATAATAATGATAACAACTAAGGTAATAATAATAAAGGTGAAAAATTGCCGTGGGCTTGTTGCACACAGTATTGTCAATGCAGTATAGAAATCCTAACATGTTTAAAAATATTGAATATAATATTCTCCTTACATGATATGGTTAAATAAAAGAAAAACTAAGTTTAGGTTCAGGCTTAGAACAAATTATTATTATATATTATTGTTCCGTTGGCCTCCGAGTGGGAACATAGGGCTTCAACAGCACATCTCCACTTTACCCTGTTGTCAAGTCCTCCTTAGTTGGCTCCGCGATTACCCGTAGTCTCTCATCTCCTCCTCACACGATCCCCCCCCCTACGTCACCATCGGACGCCCAACACGTCGTTTCCCATCCGGGTTTCACTCGAGAGCCTGGCGCGATTTCATTCCCATGGTCTTCTCAGTGTGTGTCTGATGAACCTACAATTAGTTCCACATGTTTATTGAGCGATGGGTTCTTGATTGGTTCGTTCTCAGAGTTTCTTGTTGCTGATTGTTCCTGTCTATCTGATCTTCAATATGGAGCCAGCGAGGACAGCTGTCGATGAAAACCTGCAACAGCCTGTTACTGGAAATGCTTTTCGTAATGAGCGTGTCAAGCTTCTGACCCATATAGAAGAATTGGCTTAACATTAGTGTTAGGGTTACTTAACTAGAAGAATACTAGTGTAGTGGTAGAAGACAAGAGACTTGGTCGCGAAATTTTTATTTGGATCTGTCTGTTTGTTTGTTTTCGACATAGAACTTTGCACACATGTGCGGTAGTTCAGGTCGCCACACTCCATGTAGCACACAAAGCAAGAGAAGTAAGTAGAAGAAATGCATAATAGAGACAGTAAACATAGGTGTGAGACAAAGGAATAGTAGTAACGAATAACAAGACAGTTTCATTGGAAATCATAAGTCACAAGGAATGGATGCATCGATGCCATTGAGAACGATTTTGAGCCATGTCACCAATTGTTTCCAACCATTGACTTTTACCGTCCCTAGGACCCCAACTAGGAAGTCTACACCTTTCTACGTGGCTTAGACTAACTGTTGTAGATTTCATTGACTGATGCCATGTTTTGGTTTGACCGCTGCTAACTCTTTTCCAGCCTGACCCTATATCAGCTAACATTGCCCGTCGAGGAAGGCGATGACCAGGCATAAGTAACACATGTCCTAACCATCTCAGTCGACGTAGCTTCACAGCCTCGTCGGTTGATTTCCCCTCCTTACCTAGAACTCGATGCCTAACCTCAATATTGGTCACCTTATTATACCATTTCACACGGGAGATAGAACGCAGGCACCTATGATCAAAGACAGCTAATATTTTCATGTCTTCCAGTCTCAGTGGCCAGGTCTCAGCCATAAAGGAGGACGGAGCGAACTGATGAGCAGTACACTCGTCCTTTGGTCGAAAGCCGGATATCGTTTCTACGCCAGAGACGGCGTAAACTGGCATAGGCGAAACTAGCCCTCTGTATCCGTGCTGAGATTTCGTCAGAGATCAACCCGTTGGCACTGGCTGATGGTACTTCCCAAATAAGTGAAGCGGTCAACGTGCTCTACCACTTCACTTCCTATTTCTAATCTGGGAGTCGGTGTGGTCCAGTTCTGTTGCATCATCTTGCATTTGGCGGGAGCGAATCGCATGCCAAACATCCGTAGATTGCGGCTCAAGGTGTTTAGAAGACTCTGCATTTTGTCAGCGTCCTCGCCTAGAAGGACTATATCGTCTGCATATTCTAAGTCAGCGAGATTATTCCCTAGTAGAAAGTCAATCCCTGAGTCTCTGAAGTGAGTTAGGGTTAAGTGCATTACCACATACTTTTATGATGAAGTTGATTAGAAATGGGGATAATGGGCATCCTCGACGGACACCGCTAGTCGTCACCACTTCAGATGACAACTCGCTGTAAGCCCTCATCTGGCCGCACGAGTTCCATGGATCTTTCTGCTATTGGATGTTTTTGTGCTCATGAACGTGACTGTATCTACTACTGATAAATCTTTTTTGTAGCACACGCCATATTAGGACTAGGAATAAGTGAATGGTTGCGAATACCGTCTAATTTGCTTGTTCCGAGGTGATTAGTTCGTGCACACCTCTTACGTGCCTTGAGGTGAACTTTGCCCATAGTGTTATTGACGGTTCTCAATATTTGTTTATCAGTAATATAATGTGGATTGCTGTTACTGTCTATAAATGATTATGCCTTTTTGATATGATAACGTAAATTACTCAGACTGGTTTATGCATGTAATCAGATTGATCATTTTGTGTTATTCTCGTTATGATCCTGGCCGAAAAATAAAGATATGACATCTGTGAATTTGGAAACAACAATGTCATTATTATTATTGTTATTATTATACTTTACAATTGTAGCATGGTTTAATTTTTTTTATAAATAAAGTCATGCACAATTGCGGTTGAAGTTTTCAAAAGTGTATCTACTTTCGTATGTCTTTATTTGTTTTCATTTGCTGGTTTACGCTAATTGAAGTGTAATTTTTACTTTAAGTACTGAATAACCTTTTATTTCTGTATTCCATCTGCTAGGTTTCGTTTTAACTTCTTTCCTTTTTTATAGTTGGTTGTTGGAAGCAATGAAGTTGAAACTTGAGTGGGAAACTTGTATTTGCCTAAACCATAAAGATAATCAACAGCATACTGAGGATTGTCTATGTAGTTCATCAAGATCTACGTATGAATATGTTTTAAAAGCGTTGTCCACAAACGATTCAAAAATAAATCCTCGTAGTTTGGGCGCATGTCATTTGTATAGTTTACCACCATGTCAAGTGAAAGATCTACTATTGCGTACACTAAAAGCTGGTCAAGTGGATAAAAAATTTGAGAATACAATTACTACACCTGTTCACAGTAAATTTAATAATTCTATAGTAACAACAACATCTATTACCAATGCTACCCCGTGTATTACTCGAGAGTTAACTGTAATTACTGAATGTGGAACGATAAGTAAGAAATTTTGAATTTCTAGGGGACTTATTCTTACCGTACTTATCATAATAAGTGCTTATGTTGGTGTTATCAATATAACGTATTTCAATCATAGGTGATTATATTACATATCCCTTTTTTGAAGTGGCGTCACCTATACCAGGTTGTGTATTAGGCTAAAATATACCAGCATGATATCATAAAAATTCAATAGTGTATGTTTAACTTTTGAATTCCCTGTATCCTTCAATTCCATTACATTGCGCAGATATCAGTCTCAAGCAACATATTCCGGTTAAAGTGCAGTAAATGTAACATAGTTGAAGATTATAATGCCACCGATAATATGTATTTCAAAAAAAATTTTAATGCAAAATTTCATTGAAAAAGCATTCGAAAAATATATCTTGTCAACTGAACCGTCATAGCACACTGGATTATAACACCACAATATACAATAAAGTCACTCTTCAGTGATACAGAATGGATTATCTGTACAGTATCTTTCCTGGCATGTAGCCTACTTATACTACCAAGCCGCAGATATTCCACTACCTTTATTAAGATATTCTGCATAACTCAAAAGAAAGGTCAAAGACATCATAGATTTGTAGCATATCTTAGTCCTACTGCTACTTTTAACTTTTTGGAATAGTCCTACTTCAGCTGACAGTTTTTTTTCATTAGATAGTACCTAGTTATCTGTGTATATGTGTGTGGTAACTAATTTCACTCATGGGAATTTGCAGTTGATCATAACTTTTTGCTACTGTAAACGAACCGTGCTGTTGTGTGTTGTATCGTGTAAACTTCATAACTATGCATCATATTATTATTATTTCCCTGGGTTCTGAATGGGACATATAACTTCAACAGCACATCTCCATTTCACCCTATTCTTTGCAGTCCTCTTCAATTGGCTTGGCAACTGCCCACAAACTTTCGTCTCCTTGACTTGATGCATCATAGTCACATCTTAATACACACATACATTACTGGGATTCAGTTTTTAGAGTTGACTGATAAGAAAGTCTAGAATAGATCTGCTCATTATGATGTCTCTGCAGTCTATAGGAATACTATCTTGTATAATCATGTGTAAATCCCTAATCCATTGACTTTGCGGCAGTGACATATAATAACCATATGAAAGTACTGATCTACCGTGTATTATTATGAGTACTTGGTCAAATGATATTAATATAGTGGTTCATTGTGTTCAGTGGAAGATGTTTGTAGTCAGTTGAGATTATTATTTGTATGAATTAGGCAGAAACATTCCATATATATATATACATTGCGTTTTACTTACGCTGAAATTTTTGTAATGAATGACTGTCTGGGCTAAAGCTTCCACAGAGAGATGATATCTAATCCTTCAATTCTGTTATTTTTTTAAAATTAACAATCCAACTATGTTTATATCACACTGGTGTTGTTTGTTTACGTGACACTTCCTAAAAACTACTACTAATACTACTTATGGGTATTACGGAAAAATAAAACTTATCTTTGGGTAAACCATTTAAATATGATTATGCTTTATTTGATCTATTCCACAACGCTCAAACTTTCTACTGACATTAATTATACTGACGATCTTCGTATTCGTATTGAAGCTTGGAGATATTATACTGATGATTGACACAACACTAGAAGAAGATAACAAACAAAAAGCAGAATTTCTACAGTCTTACTGTTAAAAAAACAAAAGAATATATAGTGATATAAATTCCATAAAGGATATCCAGAAAGACTGATTGTAGATTTTAGAAATACCAACATATATGCTAGCAAGATTTCTCGCAATAATACTAAAATCAACAATAGATAATTCAAAAGCTAAAATAGTAGATACATTTCAATCAGTGAGACGAAGAAGAAATACTATTCAACTTTGATGTAAACAGTCTCTTTACCAAAGTACCTATTCAAATGGCCATGGATGCACTGAAAGCTAGACTAAAAGAAGATGATGACCTAAGAGACAGGACACAATCTTCCGTTGACGAGACAATAAAAGGGGTGGAATTCTGTCTGACGACAACATATTTTACATATGAAAGAAAAATATACTAACACAATGAAGTAGTGGCCATCTCACCAATAATAGCTGATATATTCATGGATTTTGGGAAGAGAATGCGCTTAAACCATTCAGGTCATCAATAAAATGATGGTGAAGATATTGTAGACGATATACTAGTAGTAATGAAAAAGAACTATGTTGAGAAATCCTTCTTACACATAAAGAGTCATGTAGACTCAATAAAATCCGCTATGGAATTAGAGAATAAAATTCGGGAGCTGCATATGATGGACTACAAAGTACAAAGAGTAACAAATGACAAGATCAAAATGAAGATATATAGAAAAAATACAGATTCTGGAAGGTTCCATTATGGACAAGATTTTATTTTGATATACCACAGTGTTGTACAGTAATATTAACTGATGACGTTTCGAGCACAAACTATCGCTCATAATTATATCATAACTTGATACCATACCAAAATGTTACACCAAAGGCAATTCGAAAAAATATTGGGGTTCGCACCACGTTTAAACCAACGAATTTTATTGAAAATAAAATAAATCAACTGAAACATCTAATAAAATTGATGAATAAAAACAATGTAATTTACAACATATGTTGTGTCGAGTACCCGACTAAATATGTAGGTCAAACGTCCAGATCACTCAAAATAAGAGTGAATGAATATAAACCACTATAAATTATTTGAAATAATCCCAGTGTGTATGAGAAGGAATCAAAACAAGATTTTTCTGAAAGTATCACTGTGTGAGCCACAGCTTCTGTAGCAGAATTATTCGGATTTTATTAACCATCGAGTCAATCGTTAAACTATTCATGTAGTTACATAGCTCTTTTTTAAAAACTGTTGGTAGCAACTCATCACATTTGTTAATACCCCGGTTTCCTTAACACTCAATTTTTTTGACCGTTTTTGTATGACGTAACTCCACCCAAAACTTACTAATTCTCACCCTTTAGCTAAAATAACCATTACCAATTGTATTTTCGTTGGACAAACTTAATATATACCTACATACAAATTTTTTTCCTTGACTTTCACAGAGGAACATAGGGCTTCAAGCTGGTGGCTTGAGGTTTCTGTAGCAGTGTTTTTTTTAATTTTTACAGGATGGGGTTGCTAGCCCCATGCCCAACCTTTCCTCTTTACCAGCTTTATTTCTGATTTAGCGGGGTAAAGGAGTGCGTCGGCCGGGGACTGAACCCCAAACCATATGCATAGTCGGTGAGTGACCTTTATATATTTGCAGTTGTACAGCTAAGCAAATGAATCCGCTGAAAACAGACTCTTCGCTGAACTACGTGTTTTGTTTTCATAAAAATATAAACATGGTGTGATTATTTTAAATAATTTATAATGATTCGATCTGACACGTAGCTAAAATTATTCTGGGGAATTGGCAACACCTGCGACCTGGAAACAAATAATCTTTTAATGAATACAAACGTCTAACTAAAGGTCATCCTACAGGAACAAAAGCGTCGGTGGCACAGTGGTTAGGACTCTCGTCGATCATGCACATGATCCGAGGTTCGACATCCTGCCGACGCACACCTGATATCCATGGTCGGCCTGCAAAATTTGGGCTACCGATATCACATGCTGAAAATTCCATACTTGTAACAAAAATAGAGTGTGGAATCAAGTTGTAATCAAAAAAATATTAAAAGTATAGTAATCGTCTTTAGCTGCGCATGCATGAAACGAAAATCACAGCATGGATTGGGACAACATTTGTATTCTAGAATCTTTTTTTCCTTCACGTTTCCCACTGGAACATAGGGCTTCAAGCTAGTGGCTTGAAGTTTCTGTAGCAGTGTTTATTTTACAGGATAGGGTTGCTAGCCTCATACCCAACCTTTCCTCTTCTGGAATCTAATATGAACAAATGGAAAGAAAGACTAACAGAAACTATATTCATTATGGTTACTCCGAATACATATAACAAGGGTGACTCAACACAAGTGTCAACAACCTGGAATATGACTCTGTATACCCTGTAAATGAGTGGATATATATATATATATATATATATATATATATATATATATATATATATATATAATTTCTTCACAACCGCTTTACAATTAACAGAGTTCACAATAATAAAATAAAATGCATAATACTGGGAGAATTTATGCTCTATAAACATTATGTGGATGATACACTCATAATAGTAGGTATATTGGAACCTTTTTTACTCTATTTAATCATATTCATCCAAATATCCGAGTGACATCTGAATTCGAATCGAATAACATACTCGGTTTCCTAGATATTTCAATGACCGGGAGAGACAATGGAACGATCAAGCTATCTATATTTTGTAAACAGACCTGGAGTGGACAATAACGTCATCTCACCAGTTTTTTTTCCATCCAGTATAAACGTTCCCTAGTGAAATGTTTGTTTTCAAGGGCTGACAAAACATGTACGACCGACACATTCAGTTTTATTAGCTAATGGTTATCCAGAAAACTTTATCAATTTTCAAAGCAATTCCAACAGTTAGTGTGATCACAAAATATTACCAAAAACGAAAACTTATCATTGTTTGTAAACCATTGAAATATTATTATAATTCGTTTCCAAGATACTGTTAATATTATTTTATCGGTGTTAATTATTTTAGAGGATTCTTCAGAATATTCTCTTCAAACTCGTCGTGCACGTTTGCGACGTCATTATCAACATGACAAGCATTCCTCTTTCTCTTCACCTGAAGCATCACGTGAGTATTCGTCTAGAGAACTTTTGGATATGGCTAATCCCTTGTTTCAACGTCAGTTGGATGGATGCCTGGGTCGTGTGCCTCCGACATTCTATGAAGGTGTTTATCTGATTCTTGAGAGATCTACTCATGGTTTTCTGATTTGTGGCAAGCTGCTACTACAGGTAAACAGATCACCATTTATTCAACTTTATTACTTCTGTTTTATCAGGGTTGCTTATTGTTATGTACTTCTGAGTGGTTAATTTGTCCTGACGCAAAAGGCGGAAATCAGAAGACCACCTCGTTCACGATGATACTTGTATTTTCTAAACAAGGGAAATAATGACTGTCCCATAAGTGTGAGCATGAAGGGTACTCAGTGTACGAAAAGTGTGTGAACAAGTATATACAAGTGTACAATACAAAGTATGTATGAAAATGACCAATATACATGAACCAGTAGACAGACAGTCCTACCATGATTGGTTGTAATATCATGTGACAACAAGGTCATACATTGTTTATTTAGTTAATGGACAGACAAAAGCATACTGTCAGATATAATGGAATATCGATCCATATACATATAGCAAAATATAACAGACTGTCATAAACAAAACACTTATCATGTGACTACATATCACTTATTTACAAAACTACTTGCATATTTGTTATGCTAGCTGTAACGTTTTATGCTTTTTCACTGGAGATTTGTGCTTTTCGACATATGTAACTGACAGAGCACTTGCCGATCCGGAGGTTTGGAAATATATAATTGATCCGTCCAACCAGCTGTTTCGTCACCAAAGTGCTTAGACCGACAACTGATCCTCTTTATATTTTTATATCGTATTACATTTAAGTTTTCTACTAAGGAGTAGAGATAGTCCGTATCAAAAGGTCAGTAGTACATTTTATTTAATAATTTCAGTTATATCTTCATTTTGTTTTTCTCTTCTCTTTTTCTTAATGAAAGAAACCTACTTTAACTGATATGACACCGTATGACTTCAATTTTATTGATGAAGTTGAATGTCTTCTTCGACCAATACGTGATCCTGTTTATCGATCATTAGTTGTAGAAACTATTATGGTTATTGCAGTTATACTACAAAGAAATAGTGAACTTTCATTCAAAGAGGCAGTAGACATTCAAGTTATCATTGAAGACGCCATGAATTCATTTATGCGTGATCGTCAGTCTGATAAGTAAATAAGAGACTATTTTTCTCTTGATTCTTTAATTTTGTTATTTTGACTGCCATTTGTATATATTTTTGTTCAATCTGATTATCGATATTTTTAAAGTATAAAAGTTAACGGGATTAAGGTTTCCCACAATAAACAATTAATGAACCAAACAACTATCAATTATCCTGTTGGTTGAGTTATTTTATAGTCTATGAGAACGCAGTTATAAGCGTCTGATAAATATTAAACTACAGTCCACTAGGCAAACACTCTGATGAAAAGTAATCAATCTAAGTTATGTTTACGAAATATTGTCCCTCCTCCCTTTCCTCAAAGTATGAGTCCTGTAAAGTAACTGTTTAACATTTTTTCATTTGCAACTTAATAAATTAAATGACAAAGTTTGCTAGGTACTACTTGTATTCCTAATCAGAGAATTATATACCTTCCTCTTATGCTATCAATACCTGATTGTCGGTAACCCTTTCTGTTCGTCTCGATAAAAAATAAATCTCTGCTTTTCCCATTTTAACTCTCCTAATTTGGAATTGCCGGCACACAACGGGTATCTGACACAACAACTTAGGAGATGGTGTGTTGCACATTCAAGTAACACTGTTAGTTAAACATAGCGAAATTTCATCATAACTTTGAGTTATCATTTCATATGTGTTACTTCGTACACATCACGATAGCCCATTCGTAAAGTATTCACTTTATCCAAACAAAATATAACAGATAATTAATGGAGTGAAGTTATGAGACAATAGATATTCAATTACCATGATTATATATCGGTGATTGATTATACATAATGATACGTGTCATTGATTTTGCTTGAAGTATAACTAAAATCAAAACAGTGGACATAAAGTTTTGTTGTAGGTTTGATCAGCAACTTACATCAGTCAGAGAGCTATTGGAAAACCAGGGACTACTTGGCAGCTGCTTCGTCCTAGCTTTGGACTCTTTATCAGTACTCACCCACTGGGCTTCGAATCTAGGATCTGGTTACAAGGTGAGCTCTTAGACCAGTCAGCCGCTGCAGTCTGATCCAATGGTTTGAACGCTGCCAGGTGAATCCTTGCAAACCAAAACTTGATAATACGGTTTTCTCTAGAAACAGTAGATCACTCTTTCAAAACATATGAGTGACCTATTTACATTATATACAGTTGATTAATTTCTTTAATGTCATCACCTTTTAATTTCAGACCAGTTGATAACTTAATTAACAACGTACGAAGACGTATGTCATGGCCTGAACCAGACATGTTATCTTCTGAATTACCGGTCTATTCTCAATTCACATCAACTCCAGCGAACACTCCTATGGGGACTACTTGTTATATCGCAAAGGCTGTACTTGATCGTTTGTTGCAAGGAAATATAGACCTGACCAAAGTTAGTAAAGATGCTTGTTGTACAATGTAACTGCTTCAACATAACAATAATGCTTATTTCCATAGCTACTTACCGCCCTGAAATAATACAGTTATTTTAGATACTCTCACTGCATGCTTTTAGAATATTCACTTACGTTTAGTATTTTCAACTTGATTATTTTCATTATTTTCGCTGGTGATTTCCAATTATTTATTTGAATTCTCTTTCGTTTCTTTGCTTACTTCATAGTTATGCTTGTTAAAGACTATCTATTTCAAATATAATTTGTATTATAAAGAAAACCTTTTACTACTTTTTATTTCTTTTAATCAAATATCTTGATGGATTTACTTTGTGTGCAAATAAGGTGATAATTACGACAAACAATATGACAAGAAATCTAATGATTAAGAGCTTAGAATAGTAGAAATTAGACGATACAGTTAATTGATTGTAAAATTTTACTGTACCCACTACCTCTCCGTCTTAGTTGAAAAGTAAGTAGTATGCTTGTTTTAGGCATATTTGAAACCAGAAAATCGTCTCGTCATCACAAAAAGAGATCTGCTTGCACTTTTGGTTCGTCATAAATCGGTAATTTCCGATGATATTTATTATTATTGTTCCGTTGGCCTCCGAGTGGGAACATAGGGCTTCAACAGCACATCTCCACTTTACCCTGTTGTCAAGTCCTCCTTAGTTGGCTCCGCGATTACCCGTAGTCTCTCATCTCCTCCTCACACGATCCCCCCCCTACGTCACCATCGGACGCCCAACACGTCGTTTCCCATCCGGGTTTCACTCGAGAGCCTGGCGCGATTTCATTCCCATGGTCTTCTCAGTGTGTGTCTGATGAACCTACAATTAGTTCCACATGTTTATTGAGCGATGGGTTCTTGATTGGTTCGTTCTCAGAGTTTCTTGTTGCTGATTGTTCCTGTCTATCTGATCTTCAATATGGAGCCAGCGAGGACAGCTGTCGATGAAAACCTGCAACAGCCTGTTACTGGAAATGCTTTTCGTAATGAGCGTGTCAAGCTTCTGACCCATATAGAAGAATTGACTTAACGTTGGTATTGAAAATCGGAATATTATCTCTTATACTGGATGTAATAGGTTTCCAAACTGATTTTAGAGTTATGAAGGTTTGTCTTGCCTTCCTGATTCTGGGTTTGAGCATTCTCATCTGTTCCATCTTCACTTGGAACCTGGATAGCTGAAGAAAGTAACTTCTTTTATAAATTGACATAGTGCAGTCTCAAGTCTTGTTTATTAAAGTGAAAAAATATATAAAATTCCAGTCGTACTTAACATATGTGTCAACAGCTAACAATAAGAAACCAGCACTGATTACTCCTTAGACAGAGACTGTCAGGCTCTAAATTGAACTTTATAATAAGAGTCTTGACACCAATAATAATAATAACGTTCATAGTGACTATAAAAACAATAATAGATATTATAGCCGCAACGAATCAATCATTAACTTGGACAGACAACTACTAATAATACAATCATATCAATTAAATGTATCACTTAATCTTATAAAGCTGGTGTTTACTTACTTTCACAGTATTCTCGCAATACTGATATGGTCAACGAACTTATTCCAAACGAACTCAAGATTATTTAATTGAATTTTAGATTTTCCCGTCGATGGGACGAAATGCACATCCTGGATTCCACTACTAGTCACCATCCACCAGTTAAATTCGAACTGAAGATCGATTCTGAAAGTGAATAGAGATTCAGTTTATGCCAACTAAAAACATGTAGCCTACAGGTATCACACAGCTTACTGTAACGTTTGATACCTGCTTTCCGATCTTCGTGACAAGAATACAGTATAAGTAGGTATACCTACATATACATAAATATACTTATATGCTCCATAAATCATGCCGTTTTCATCATGATTAACCAGCCGTTGTGTATTTTATACTAATTTAAGGATCTCTGAAAATAATAGTCAAGCGATAATGGAAGTTGCATAAAGTTATCACCTCTTCGAAGCATTGTTTGCATTCTTGACACTCCTGCGAAGTCCCTAGATCTTGATATGGGATGAATTCATTGAATTCAGCAAATAAATCCTCTGGTATATCATTTCTGTCCTTAGCTGTAATGGTATGTGTTGTCAATTATGCACCTGGCTCGATTAAATGCTTCTGGAAATTGCGAACTTATCTAAGGGACAGAGGATTGCGGCACAAATGGCTTACGGAGAGGCTGGGCTCTTGACGGTCACTTATGCACGCTGTGATTGGTAGATTTCCCCATTGCGTAAACGTTGTGGCTAATACGTGTTGCACGTTACTGAAGCATGCTTTGAAATAGCGATAATAGAATCGGAAAGACATTATATATTTTAGCTTGAGGGAACAAGTTAACATGTGTATAAGTTTCACAGATGTGATAAGCATTGCATACACTTACAAGAAAAATATTACTGGGTAACTTAATTAAAGAAGTATAAAGTTTGAAGATTTGATCTCTTTCAGTTAGTTGTAATGGATGAATGAGAATCACGTGTATAATATTTGCTTTTTACAGAAGAGAAAATGTGACAGGTGATTCGGAAGTTCCACAGTTCTTCAAGCCTGTCGTGGAATGCATGGACGACTAATCTATAGAATTTCACCAACTCTGTGATTGTCCCCTCCCTTGTTCATATATTCAATGTGGCTAAAATAAGGAATTGTCCACCAGAGGTAAGATTAATTTACCTGATGTGTATACACCCTCAGATTTTTCTCAATACGGCCGAAGGTCTTCGAAGGAATAAAATCTCAATCTCTTCTTGAAAAGTTCACATCCAGTTTCTGCGAACGGATCTGGTGGTGACGAAAACTGCAAAGACTGGTCCAACACCACTACCAACGGAGGCAAACTGATGCAGCTGTTGTGGAGTGTTCGGTGGACTTTATGATGATTATGACGCAGCTATAAAAGTTTCTACAACTGTGATTTTTTCACTGGATTGTTATTAACTCTTTTTAGTGTAGATATGCACTCTTTCATTCCGAATTATTTTTAACTTGATTGGTTATTGTTTCCTTGCAAATATATGCATTTATGTCGCCTAACTTTGTCTCTATTACTTATCATTTTGAGGACATTACAGAGTTAAAGAGAATGATAGGCAATGTCTTATTACTTATGTGAAAGACGTCAGTCTTAAACTGCTACTATTGCCTCAATGCGTCATCAAGCCTTGCCTAAAGTGGTTCAGTTACGTTTGATACGGTTGCGTATAATGTTAATATTCATGACTGTTACGAAAATAGCCGTTGAACATGTGTTTGTGCTGTAATAACGAAACATAACCTAACAAACGTAGGTACTTTGCGTACACAACTTGTATTGGTATTCTAGGCACTTCAAGTATACTATGCAACGTATGTCTTATTTATCACGAATAGTCTATTATTCTTATGTTGCGTTTAATACCACTATCCCAAAGGAGATCGTTAGGTAATAAAGTCTGTCTGTCTGTTTTCGACATAGAACTTTGCACACATGTGCGGTAGTTCAGGTCGCCACACTCCATGTAGCACACAAAGCAAGAGAAGTAAGTAGAAGAAATGCATAATAGAGACAGTAAACATAGGTGTGAGACAAAGGAATAGTAGTAACGAATAACAAGACAGTTTCATTGGAAATCATAAGTCACAAGGAATGGATGCATCGATGCCATTGAGAACGATTTTGAGCCATGTCACCAATTGTTTCCAACCATTGACTTTTACCGTCCCTAGGACCCCAACTAGGAAGTCTACACCTTTCTACGTGGCTTAGACTAACTGTTGTAGATTTCATTGACTGATGCCATGTTTTGGTTTGACCGCTGCTAACTCTTTTCCAGCCTGACCCTATATCAGCTAACATTGCCCGTCGAGGAAGGCGATGACCAGGCATAAGTAACACATGTCCTAACCATCTCAGTCGACGTAGCTTCACAGCCTCGTCGGTTGATTTCCCCTCCTTACCTAGAACTCGATGCCTAACCTCAATATTGGTCACCTTATTATACCATTTCACACGGGAGATAGAACGCAGGCACCTATGATCAAAGACAGCTAATATTTTCATGTCTTCCAGTCTCAGTGGCCAGGTCTCAGCCATAAAGGAGGACGGAGCGAACTGATGAGCAGTACACTCGTCCTTTGGTCGAAAGCCGGATATCGTTTCTACGCCAGAGACGGCGTAAACTGGCATAGGCGAAACTAGCCCTCTGTATCCGTGCTGAGATTTCGTCAGAGATCAACCCGTTGGCACTGGCTGATGGTACTTCCCAAATAAGTGAAGCGGTCAACGTGCTCTACCACTTCACTTCCTATTTCTAATCTGGGAGTCGGTGTGGTCCAGTTCTGTTGCATCATCTTGCATTTGGCGGGAGCGAATCGCATGCCGAACATCCGTAGATTGCGGCTCAAGGTGTTTAGAAGACTCTGCATTTTGTCAGCGTCCTCGCCTAGAAGGACTATATCGTCTGCATATTCTAAGTCAGCGAGATTATTCCCTAGTAGAAAGTCAATCCCTGAGTCTCTGAAGTGAGTTAGGGTTAAGTGCATTACCACATACTTTTATGATGAAGTTGATTAGAAATGGGGATAATGGGCATCCTTGACGGACACCGCTAGTCGTCACCACTTCAGATGACAACTCGCTGTAAGCCCTCATCTGGCTGTATGAGTTTGAGTAGAGTCCCTTGATCAGTGCAATGTATTTTAGGCTGGACTTATTTATCACGTACTGTTGAATTCCGATTGGAAATTTTTTTGCCAGTAATTTTTAATAAAATTGTATTATATGTTATCTAGATTGAGGGAAATTCCCACTTTTTGGCTGGATATGTTGGTGTCCGCCTCATGTGATCTGACTGCGACACACTTTTAGCATATTGGTTGCAATGATTAGTGTTTCAGATGGAATGTATCAAAATGTCGGTGTAATGAGGGAGATAGGATAGTTAGAGGGTAATGCCATTTACACCACTCATTTACTCCATGTAGAAGTTGCATCCTTCGGCATAGTATCATTCAATG